ATAGATCTTTGGTTATTCGGGTTTTCTCCCGCGTAAGATTGGAAGTATCTAGGCAACGTTTCGATGAAGTCTCATTCATCATCTTCAGGCTTCTGTCTTCAGCTCTGTGCTTCTCACTCTGATTTATATATATAAATCAGAGAGTTCTAGATTCACCTACTCTGTGAGAATTGAGCCCTGCCAATACGTCTCTTCTTGGTGTCGCTCGTACCTTCAAAATCTGGCCTTCTTGAAATGGGAGCTCCTCTTCAGCAGCATCCCGATTAGGGGACATCGAAACAGGGTCATAGTCAAAAAGAGCCACAAACAGACGCGCTGATCCCTTATCATCTGCTGATTCAAGGGAAGGATTCCTCCAAGTTCCTAACCAGGACACAAAAGCAAATCATAGTTGGACCGAGTTTGTCTATCAGGACAGAATTCCTAGCCCTGGTGTGACGGTTGCGAATTTGGAAGTATGGGCTTGATACTGCGATTTTAACTCCTTCATGTACCTGATCTTGTAAGGAGGTTTGGAGACATCCTTGTTCAACTCTTGCTAACATTGCCCCCTCCCACTTTAAAACAGCCCTAATGGAAACTGCAACTAACTCACCAATAGTTCCACTGGGAGATAGGGTCCCTTCTTGACTTTTTCTCGGAGATCTTCTGTCTCTCTGGACAGGTGACTGATATGATGTTGAGTCCAACAACCCGGGACTACCTGTCACCTGAAAGAGAAACCCTTGGCAGAATCAGTCCTGTGTTTATTCACTGGCATTTCAGCTACACCCTGCAGCAAAAAGCACAAAATGCAAAGGGCTAGAATGCAGCATTCCTCTTTTGTGAGCGCTTCCACAAAACACTGACCAAAAGCAAAGCAAATTGCATAGGCTCAGTTTTGCAGTTACACGGAATCTGTCATTTTGACACCATAATATATATATTCCTCCATTCATTGTGAGAGTTGGCGTTTGCCGTGAAACCGAGAAATTCTCATTTCCTTTGAGTTTTCTATACACCTTGTGAACCACTAGATCTTATCGATCAAGGTTACATTGATATAAATCATTCATAGACCACCTTGATCAGATGGCAGCCTCTTTGTGGAAGGCTTGTTGCAAATTAAAAGAGATTCACGATTTAAAATAAAGGGTATTTAAGTTTGCAGACTTTCCCTAAAAATTAAAGGGGAAAAGGAATACTGCATTAGATATTTTCAGCCAGTGATGTCTGATTGGTAGCCAATCCCAAAGCAAAATATGAGAAAAGCCAATAAGGAGTATCACACAAATGGGTTGTAAGTTTCAAATAAAAACAGAAGCCTCTATTTTGTAAAGCACTCAACACAGTAAGCAGAATGCAAGCAAGCATAGGAGCAAAGGGTCAAAAGCACAGTCAGAATTGTGGCAAGCTGCTGTGACAACACCGGTTGATGAAGGAAGTGTCTCACAGACCCATGTTTGCACAAGAGGGCCCTCCTTCCAAGCCTGCTCTGGCCTGGCTCCCAAGACAGAGGGGCTTTTCTCCCGAGTCCTGTTCCACTCTTCTGGGGCACCACTGGCCTTCTTCCTCCATCCACAATGTCCAGGTGAATGGCTGGGAGACGTGCTCCAATCCGTGCTCTCTCCCTCCCAACTACTGGATCGCTTCAGTTCTCGTCGCCCACTGGATTGGATTGATCCTGACTGGCTGGAGCAATCACTCCATTCCTCCTCACAATCTGTTGGTGATCCATCAGCCCTCCCATCTGAACTCAACAGGCTCACTGGTGTGGAAGTGATGGTTAAATCCTCTTCCTCATTTGAATCATACTCAATGTCAATCTCCAAATTCTCCGGGGTGAGGCAGCGGGGGAGGCCTTGCACAGCTTTCTCCCTTTTCTCTTGGGGCATCATTCTCCTTGAAGGAACTTGATCAGGCCTTTGTCCTGCCCAGCTGCACAGCTTCAAGTCATCCTCCATCTCAAGGCTGGTGATCACATCCAAATTCTCTGTGAGGCTCTGTGCTCTGTAAAGACCACCTCCAGTGTAGTAGGAATTGCTCCGCAGAGGAACACTGGGCTCTCGGATGTCTCCTTTTCGCTTCCTATGTCCCTGGGGTTGGACACGGGTCTTCTCCTTGCAATGACTGGATCTTCTCCATTCCAAAAGAGGAGATCTTGATGGTTTCTTTCTATCATCCCACTGATAGGTCATATCTTCACCATCCCATCTTCCAGAGCAACTGGACGTTTCATTCATACACTCTCCTCTAAATTTCTGTAGAAGGGTCCTTTCAGGTAAGATCAGCTCTGAAAGATTGTGGTTTCTTTTAGACCAAGAACAGAGAGGACTTTGCGTTCTTCTGGTATGATTAGGAAGCTTACTCTGGAAGCTTTCCACGGTCTTCTTTTCCAGAGGGATGGAAATAGGTTGGTTTAGGACGGGGTCCCAGCCTTCATCATCATCATCTTCTTCTTCTTCTTCCTGTTCTTGCTCCTCTTCCTCTTCAGTCACTTCAGGAATACTAAACAGAGCCTTGCTGCATTTTTTTTGCAATGGCATTTCCAGAATCCGTTCCAAGATTTCTTCATCGCTGTCAGTATCACCAAGATCCAACTGTGCTCCAGACCCAGAAACCAGACCATCAAGGAAGAAGCAAAGAGAGAAAGAGGAATTAGGCATTGAAAGATGGATAAACAACACCTACCATCACTCCTGTAGATGGCATTAAATAAGGACTAGACAAATTCACAAAGTGAAACATCAATCAATGGCGATGAATGAAGGTAATTAAATGGAAGAGCGATACTCAGAGGCAGAACAACTCTTCAAACTTATTGGTGAAGCACAGGTTTTTATTTCATGATTGTGGGCTTCCGTATCGAAAGCAAGATTCTAGTTTTGATGAATCTATTTTCATCTGGCTCCAGCAGGGTTCTTTCAATATTTGAACCCTTCTAGAATCCAGCACCAAGACCTGTTACAAAGCTAAAGAAGCCATTCCTTTACATAGGAAAAAAATGTGGAAAATGGAAATGGGCAAATAAATGGTTGAGCCTCCAGCAGTGCAACTGGAACTGGAAGTATATCTTGGTGTATTACATATCACATGGCTACTCCAATCTACTTGAAATAGATTGTGATTATCATGATCATCAGCATTTATATACCATTCTTCTTCCCATGGAAAGATGTAGGATAGTTTTCCCCATCTACATAACTTACATGTATATTAGGTAATGGCCATGCTGACAATAGCTGGTTGGGAATGATAGGAAATATAGTCCAAAGCATTTAAAGATTGTAAGAGAAAATCTTTTAATATTCTAATGAATTTAGCACATGAGGAAATGATGCCTGTTATTCCCTGTTGTTTGGCTTTCTGTAGCTTTTTCCATAATGGCATTTGTCTGGTCAGCCTCCTCTCAAAGATCATGAAACCCAATCAGGAATTCTTCAGATAAGAGTAGTCACCCAATGACAGTTAGTGTTCTACTGCTCTGTCTCTTCTTGATGTAGGAAAAGTCCATCCAGTCAGGGTTTTCCACCATCATCAAAAGTACAAAATTAGATCATTTTCATTTACACATTCAAGAAGCTCCCCTTAGTTATTCCTCAACCTAGCGAAGAGTAGGATTACCAGATCTGGAATGCAATAATCTACCTGGCCATCAGATGGCAGCAAAGAGAATCTCTAACTTTTTCCTGCTATCTAAAAGTCATGGGGATTCCTGCAGCTCAGTTCATCCTCATTTTGCATATGTAGTTCTCTAGGAAATTGGAGAGGAGGAGCTAAAATAGTGCTAGGGAGGCTGGCAGCACAGAACATGAACCTCGCGACCTCAGCACTGATATATCTTGGCAATACTCTCCTTGTGCAAGAGTTATCTAGGCGGGTATCATGTTTTTCCCCCAAAAAGTAATCGGGTCCATGTATTCCCACAGTGGTGATTTTGGGCCTAGGTGTTGTGACTGCGTGCTGCCACAGCTGCTGGTAAGAAGATTTTCTTCATAGAGATAAGAAGGGGACCATGATGTCTCAGAGGAAAGGCAGGGTATAAGTTAAAATTGTAAATAAATAGATTGCTCTGTGCAGAACAAAGAGTTTGATATGGTGGCATCAACTGTTCAAAGCTCAGGTATAACGTATCCTATATAAATTTTCTGGAATTGCTAACATTCTTTAAAAAGCCAGATGGGCTCTGACATTATGGCCCCATCAGGACGGAGAGTGCTAGATGAACAGAACTAGATGATGGAACACGTCTCCTCCCAGAGAACTATGAGTGGGCAGGAACACAGGTAAAATTGGGAAAGAGATATAACAAAATGGAGAGTAGCAATGGTGGGGATATAGTCTGGCAGGGCATGAAAGGAAAACAGGGTGGATCTAAGTCGGGGGTGTCAATCTCAATTTCATTGAGGGCCGCATCAGGGTTGTGTTTGCCCTCGGGGGGTGGGGGGTGGGCATAGCCAGCTCAAAGTCACTCGTGTCGGTGTGTGTGTGTGCCTGTGGCAGCCAGAGCGCTCTGCTAGTGAAAACAGGCTCCTGAGCTCCGTTTCCGGCTGCGATGGCCTCCCGCAATCCTCTGCCAGTGAAAAGGCACCGTGGGCATCCATCTCTAAGGAGTTTACAGAGTCAGCCTATTGCCCCCCACAACCTGGGTCCTCGTTTTACCGACCTCGGAAGGATGGAAGGCCGAGTCAATCTTGAGCCTAGTGGGATTTGAACTGCCAAATTGCAGGCAGCCAGCAGGCAGCAAAAGTAGCCTGCAATACTGCATTCTAACCACTGCGCCACCATGGCTCTTTAATGTTATTTTTATTTAATATTAAATATTATATTAATATTTGCAGCAATTTTTGGATATGCCCTGAGTTTAGGGGAGTATCAGAAATAAGCAAATAATCTCATGAAGATGTTTGAAAGAGTTGAGCAAATTTGCAACTGCTCCTTAAGGACAGCAAAAATAAGAATACCTTGTCTCCATTTTCTCTGCTGCAATATTCACTTGGATTCCATTTCATCTCCCCTGGCCTACCAGAAACTGGTTTCTCTTCTTCCTCCTCCTTCTCATCCTCCTCCTCCTCCTCCGTAATATCAGAAAGGTCAGAACCACGATTGTGGTCAGTTAAAATATTTAGTGGTCGATTTCCTGGTTCTGACCTTTTCTCTGCTTGCTAAAGAAATTCAGGAGGAAAGGCTTATTAGTGAAAAATCGAATGCTGTATCATTGGAATGAATAACTGAACCCCTTCCCAAATCACCACTTTCATACTGAATATATATCTTCAAATATGAAATTGCATTTACCCTTTGGGTGATGTCAATTTTAACACTGATCTGGATGTTTTTGGAAGTGTCGGCAAGGCATGGTCAAAAAAGCCAAGATGGTAGCCGTAACAACACAATAGAGTTTTGGAACGCATTTTGATTTTTTTTTTTTTCAGTATAGCCCAGTATAGCCTTTGATGTTTTGGAATGTATTATTTAAAGCAATTTTATTTTGTCTTTTAGCCAAATGTTTCCCCAGAAGTCAGAAAAAGGCCCTTCTTAAATCCTGACTGATTTGGTTTCTAGCAGGCCTCAGACAGGAAATATCACAAACTGTTAATATAAACAATCATGACGTGTGCACATTCACGTCCTTGCATGAAGACCAAAAGTCTTTGCGGTTTGTATGAAGTTACGGATCATTAGGTTTTCCAAACCGAAGAGGCCTTTGATCAATGAATACCGACCTCTCTTCTGCTCCTGGCCACCAGCTGAGAGGCGTCATCTCTGGAGCCTTCTTTCAACGGCTTCATCCTCCCTGAAGACTCGACTAAAGACTCTGGAGTTTGTCCTTCGCTTTGGCCCACCTCCCGGGAGCTGTCGTCTTCTTGCATGGAAGGTCTGTCCATGGGTGGTCTCTTTGGTTCCAGGGAGCTCTGGTTGTCCTCTGGCTCTCTTTCTGGTGGGGCATTTGTCCCCTGTTCTGCAGGGCAGCTTCCACAGGTCTCCGGGCTAATAGCACCACTGTCTGAAATGTGCAGCTCCTGCTTTGTCACGGTGAGCGGCAGTTCCTGGGAGCACATTGTTGCAGAGAGATGTCGCATTAGCATCTCTTAATTATTAATATCTCTTAATATTAAAATAATACAGATATTGAAAGGATTAGAACATGCACAGAGTGTAACCTAACTCAGCTTTTGTTATTGCTGCTGAGAGGAGCTCCATTGTAACCTAGTGTGCCAACTGAGGAGATAAAGCCTCCAGGCTAATTGCCAAACTTAGCCTTGCTTGTAACTTAAAATGTGTATTCTCAGCAACCTAATGTGAGATAATTCTAACAAACTCTGGGCTATATGCTAGAAAATGTATTCATTTCCCCTTTCTGGGGTCCATCGTTTCAGGGCGCTGAGAAAATCATGAGCTTTTGCATGAAGTAGTGGATATCAAATTGTGTTTCTAACAGAATGACAATCTATGCAAACTGTGTAGAATATAAGAAGGAAAAATGTTTGTTTGTTTTTTTTGCATGCTTGCTTTTTCTCTCTTTGCCTTGATGTTTGAGGCAGGAGATTAAAGACGCCCGGCTTTAGTCTTGACCAATAAAAAAGCTGAATATCAGTAGCCTCGTGTTCAGAGTTTCATTGGATTAGTTCAGATTCTGAGCTGCACAAAACCTAACAATATTAAATGTGAAATTAGCAGTTATGTTCTTTTTCTAATTAGGAAGAGGGAGGGAGAGAGATTCCTGTAAAGTTATGAGAACATATTTCATCTAGGGCTTGGTAAGAGTTGATGCTGCACTATGGGTTGGTTATTAGAGGAAAACACAGTGTGAATGAAAGTGGAATCACAATTGTGCATACAAATCCCCTAAGATTCATATTAACAGACTTTTCTGTGTCTTCTGCTTAATTGTGGTTTTGCTGAAGAAGTTTAACTGATTGCTGTTGCTTCGTGATATACATTATGGATTCGGACTTCAACAGGTGTTAGTGGAACAAGATACATAGCTTTATTGCTCTGTTCAATACAAGACGCAATCAAGAATAGGCAAAAGGGGCTGCAACAATTTTTTAAAATCCTAATCAATGAGGTAATATTTAAAGGCAGCTTAGGCAGACCCCTGCTTGATTCACTGGAATATAAGAAAGGGAAGAGATACAGCACAATCAAATTTGTAAGATTTCATTATTATAGCTGATCTTAATGCAAGTAGTTTGAGCCTTCCAGTGGATCTGGTTTCCTGGTCTGGTTTATCTAAGTGGGGCAGGCAGTTGGTTACTTGAAAAAAGCTGGATTCACATATGATTCTAAACTATGTTTGGATTTATTATTGTTTATTTAAATGTTTTGGCCACCCAATTCTAACAGACCTGGAGTGGCATACAAAAAAACATTAAAACTGCTAAAAAAAATAATTCCTTGCCTTGGGAAATGACATACTGACGTATAAATCAAGCTTTGCTGCTTTGTAAATTATGGTTTATGTGGGTTAAGACAAAGCATGATGAAATTGTGGCTTAGTGAAATCTATGAACTGAGTTAATGACTGGCCCAAGCTTCATGGTTGAATAAAACTTAATTTCAGATATGTCACGCGACATTTCATGACATTTTTCCCATTTGTGGAGCCGGAGTGGGCGTGGCCTGTGCATGATGGATCCAGCCTGTGGGCTGCCAGTTTGACACCCCTGTATTATAGCATACCATGGCCAGAAAGATGTTTATTTCAGTGTTCATGGATTCCTCCCAGTGGTGGATTTCAAAGTGGTTTACCACCAGTTCGGTGGGCATGGCTTGGTGGCCGCGCTTTGTGTGCATGCACACACTTTGCGCGTGCGTGCCAAACACGCACTTTGCGCATGCACAGAGGCTTTCCTACTCACCTCCTGCAATCCTGCACTCTCCCTGTAGCTTCAACAGCTTGCCGCGCAACAATCTGCTGTGACATGCAAAGCAGCTGCGCTTCAAAAGCAGTTAATAAAGGGAGCTCGGGTGGGCAGGTGGGCCCAACTGCAGAGCGTTGGAGAGACTCGCAACAAACCGGTTCTCTGCCAGCTGATCTTCGGTACGCCAGAACCGGGCCAAACCAGTAGAATAGCACCACTGGTCCTTCCCCAACCTCTACTTATCTACTAGGAAGGAAGGAATTTCACATTTACCTGGTTGTCTTCTCCAGATTTCTCCTTCTTGAGCACAGTCAGATCTTCCTTCACCACACCGCCTGCAGGGGAGGGCAGAAGGTAATTCCCTTCTTCTCCGGGAAGAGTTCCAAGTTCTGGTGACACGGCTTGCACCGTTGGCGTCAAGGGAACCTTGACATTGGAGGATGTCTCTGAATGCACTTGATCCCCAGATTTTTCACTGGTAATAGTGGTCTGCAAGGTGAGTTTGGCAACTGAGTTCTTAGTGGCAGAAGGCAGTTCTTTCCCTGGAACCTGAGAAGTTCGTGTGACAAGAGCCGGTGCTCCCCCACCCAGAAGCCGGGAGGGACGACCACGAAATTGAGATTCAGAAGAGCGGTCTACTTCTTCCAACAATGCTGAAGGGATCTGAGCTGGCAGAGAATCCACCGATTCTCCATAAAGAGACACCGTTCTTACAGTCACTTCCTGACAGAGCTGGAGGATCTGCAGCTGGGAAACCTCAATCAGGACACTACCAGCTGTTGGAGAGGTAACCTCCATCACCTGAAATAAGAGTAATTAACTTGAAATAAGTAGGAAGATAGAGAAAGGCTGAGGCACCTTCTGCAAAAAAAAGGGAGGGTAGGATTGCTCATTCTTAGTGATGAACAAGTAAGAAGGTCTCTAAGTAGGAAGATGGGGGGTGTAGAAGGGCAGAGTATATAAATGGGTGCATGCAATGAACATAAGGATGAAGTTTGGAGAGGTCTAGTCAGTAGTATTGGTGAAAACTAAATTTAATTTCCCCCCTTTTTCAATCTCCTGCCTTCAATTATTTCTGTTCGCTACTTCTCTGGGTATGTTGCACTTTACATAATTTCTCTAACTCCCAAAAAGCAATCATACAAAGATCTTTAAGCCACACAGTGAGCCTTTTAATAAAGCATTTAGGTTATAAGACAAACCATCAGAACTGTCTATTCTGGGTGCTAAAAGAATGTACAAGGAAGAACTCTACAAACAATCCTTGATTTGCAACCATTCATTTAGTGACTGTTTGAAGTTAATGACTCTGCTGAAAAAAAGTTTCTTACAACCAGTCCTCACACAACGATTACAGCATCCTCATAGTCACAATTGCAATACAGGCATGGATACTAGCATGTATTAGGATGGCTGCGGCATCCCAGGGTTACATGTTTCCTTCCAGCTCTACTCTGATTGAATGATCAATTCTGATTGATTGATTGTCATTTATGATCTTCCCAGACAGCTTATGACAAGCAAAGTCGGCTGGGCCAGCCAGATTCACTTAACAACCATGTGATTCTCTTAATGATTGTGAGGGGAAAGGTCATAAAAGCAGTCATGGTCATGTGATGACTCACTTAATGACTGCCTTGCTTAGCGATGGAAGTTTTGGTTCCAATTGTGGTTGTAAGTTAAGGACTACCTATATTCAGAATCAAATCTAATAGATAAAGAATGATGGATTGAAGTGCAAGGCGGGAAGATAAATGTTTTAAATCTCACAGCATAAACAAAAACCAAACCAAACTGAGTTCTGGAGAAAATCCTGGCACTGTTAAGATTCTATTCCTCCGTGTTCAGTGTTGATATCTTACCCTGGGTGGAAATGATACTGTTCTAATTTTCTTCCAGCCATGCCCAAAACAACTTGGTACCTTTTGTCCATCAGCATACACTGCATAGCCAGTGACACGCACTCCATTGGATGATCCTTCAGCATCAATGGTGACTGGCAACCAGCTGATGACCAGAATACCAGATGTGGGGCCAGGATCCACTCGGACATCCAGCGGAGCATCTGGAGACCCTGAAGAAAGAATCATTGGCTATTTCTTCTGCAAAAACACCAGCATGGTAAAATTGATTTGGCCCAAAAAGTGTATAGGAAGCTTAATCTAAGGTCCCTAAAACTGAAGGACTAAGGGAAAAAAATACAACGTAGAGACTCCAAAGGAGTAACAGAATAACAGAATAACAGAATTGGAAGAGACCTTGGAGGTCTTTTAGTCTAACTCACTGCTCAAGCAGAGCTCCATGTGGAAGGAGGGAAAATGGAGGCTGAAGAAAAGGAGGCTTATGAGGAGGATATTGAAGGGATGGAAACAAGAGTGTTCTCAGTAAAGTCCTTCAAGTAATAGACTGCAACCCTCAAGTAGTTTTTAGAGCTTTAAACAAAATATTTCCATCTAACAAAGCATCTCCCTCTAATCACTTGTTAATTATAAGTAGTGCCTGTATCTCAGGAATCAGTACTTCTAAGCAATGAGCATGATAAACGTGTTCAAGGTTCGACCTTGTCATGCCCCTGTGGAGTCTGAATCCAAGGAGGAAGACGAACAGCTGACAGGGAATGGGAGTGTGGCTCCGTGGGCTGTGGAGGAAACTGGGGAAGGGTAAAGACTGGCTGGGCAGAGCAGGGAAGAGGTAGAACAAGGGAGAGGGAGTTCAGAGGAAGACCCAGGCCTACCTCCTCTTCATCCTAGGGCACGCAGGGATGAATGGAGAAGAGAGCAACATGGGTTGCATGTCTTATGGGGGAGGAAAGGGCCCTGATTCCCTTCATTAGCCACAGCTGGGAAGAGAGTTTAAAAGAAATGCATGCTGAGTGCGGCAGCTGCTGGGAGCAAACATGAGTTTATCTTGTGTTGACTTTGCTTATCTGTGTTCCTGGCGTCTTCCCAACTGAGTTATTGCCATGCCTCACATCTGGAATTCTTGCTCCTGCCCTGTTGGACTAATTACCTCATTTTGCCTTGATTGGAGTTACAGTTACAGTTTTTGTTGATCACATTTTGGACTTGATTCTCTGCGGCCAAAGGCTGTTATGGGAGAGTTTTTCTCCAGCCAGAAGATAACCAGGACATTGGGGGCAAAGTTAGAGCTAATAAAGGGACTTCTACTGATTATCTGACTGTGTTGCCTTTGTGCCACACCCTGGGTCATCACAGACCCTCAGTATCCTTATAGCAAAAGCCATAAACAGGACTGTAGTTACAGCCAGAAATTTAGTAACAAGTAGATTTGCAAAAATACCCAGCAAATCAACAGAACACAAGAAAACTGCGTGATCTATGAATAGCACAAAACTGAGGTCATCAATGGGGTGCTTTTATGGGTCCCCTCCTTTAGAATTGTGTTGTTGTTGTTAGTCCAACCTACCAAAAGGAACATCATGGGAGACAAAGCTGGAATGCAGATCAAAATAGGCAAGAAACTGACAAGAGAACACCTACCCAATCTAGATGAGTTGAAATTGCCAGGACCGGATGGTTTACATTGCAGGATTCTGAAGAAGAGCTGGCAGATGTGATCTCAAAACTATTGAACAGTGATAATACCAGTGGTGGGATTCAAACATTTTTACTATCAGTTCTGTGGGCGTGGCTTGGTGGGCGGGGCTTGGTGGGCGTGGCTAGAGAATGATACTGCAAAATCTCCATTCCCTCCCCACTCCTGGGGGAAGGTTACCATTGGTTCACCGAACTACTCAAAATGTCCACTACTGGTTCTCCAGAACTGGTCAGAACCTGCTGAATACCACCTCTGAATAATAAATACCAAGTTATACTGCATTAGTGAGGCCACAGTTGGAATACGCTGTCCAATTCTGCAGAATCTCTAAACGCTTTACTTACCTGCTGAAGATGTAGTGAACTGGATCTCTGTGGACAAGGCCTGCTCTTCCACTTCTGGGAATGGTTTCCAGAAAGTCTGTTGCGGCTGGATTTCGACTGTGGCAATGTAGGAAGTGTTTGGGTTCAGGTTGCGAAATGTGTACCAATATATTCCAGCCTTCACTATATCACACGCTCCCCCATTGAGGTATATGGTATGTGAGAAATTGCTGTTGCTCGATATCCAGGAGAGCTCCACAGAAGTGGCCTGGACACTCCGCACTTGAAGCTGACTTGGAGCCAAGACAAAACCACACCCCACCAGGAACGTGCACTGCAGTCTGTCTGAGCTCCCTTTCTCTGAAACACTCTGTATGGAGACGCGATAGGCTTTTGTTTTCAAGTCCAGTTTGTCAATCATGGCCTTCATCTGGGAACCGGCCTTCACATTTTCCCGGAGTTCAGTGTCCACATAGACATTGTAGCTCTGGATATCCAAGCCGCTTCCACTAGGCACCAGTGGTGGGTCCCATGTCACCAAGAGGCTAGAGGCAAACTGTTTGATTAGAGTCACCTTTCTGGGATAAGGCACTGCAATGGAAATACCTCCTTCTCCTTGGTCCCCTTCTAGCCTAGAGGGAGCTGTGCTGGCATTGAGCTCCTCCGATGAATAATCACTTCTCTCTCCACTGCTGATACTTATGCTGAGAAAACTCCGCTCAAGAGGGGAGCTTTGGGAGAGATCATGGAGTTCCTGAGGCAAGAAAGTAACCAGGTCATCATCTGCAAGTCGCTCCACAAAGTTGGAAGGGACAAGGCCTCTCCGGCCATCCATCAGCTCCCCTGAAGATGAATTTAACAACATGAGAGATCAGAAGACCCTGTGGCCTCAGGTGAAATAACTCTAACACTCCCCTCCCCCTCCAGCATCCTGTTTATGTAGTGTAAGGGTTCTTCAAACTTGACAGCTTTAAGACTGGTGGACTTCAACTCCCAGAATTCCTCCTCCAGTCATGTTAGCTCAGGAATTCTGGGAGTCCACAAGTCTTAAACTTGTCAAGTATGAAGACCCTTGATGTAGTGTATGTTTGGAGGTGGTGACCCTTTGAGAGCTGAATGCAATGAAATTTCATTTTAATGTATGCCGATTAGCGTATATTCAAAGTGACAATAAAGTTCTATTCTGTTCTATCCTATCCTAGCCTAACACAGATGATTTAAAATATATTTCCAAAACATTTCCCCTGATTTAGATAAAACACTATATCTCCACTCTGTTTATGATTGGAAAAACAGGAAGGCTGGATCTTTAAGGGGATCTAACCAGACTTTCTTATGTTCCTGGCTGCCCCAAAATAGCCACAAATGGCAGCCCAGCATATAGAGATATTAAAAGTATATGATTGGTAAATACTGTTGGGCTGAGAGTGACAGGCCCAAAGTTATCCCGTGACTTCCATGACTGTAGTTGGACTACAATGTGGACCTCCCTGCTCCAAGGGATATCTTAATCACTATACCACATCAGCTCTCTTTTACTGTGCTGGTTTTATTACTGTAAATAGCTCAGATGCAGCTGAGGCCTACAGCAGGCCCTGCAGGTTCACCCATTGACTGTAGTAATGCTCCGGAACTGGCGCCTCAAATGCGGCAGCACATTGGGAAAAGCCGTCGCCACCGCTTTCCCAAAGTGCTGCTGCTGTCGCATTCTGTCTGTCTGTCTGTCGGTCCATCCATCCAAAAGGTCTGTCTGTTTGCCTGCCTGCCTTCTTGCCTACCTGCCTACCTGCCTGCCTCTATCTATCTATCTATCTATCTATCTATCTATCTATCTATCTATCTATCTATCTATCTATCTATCTCTATCCATCCATCCATCCATCCATCCATGTTTGAAGCGCTGGCCCCGCAGGCACATTGGGAAAGTAGAGCAAAGCCAGTCTGAGAGGGAGGGAGAGAGAGAAAGAGAAAGAGAAAGAGAAAGAGAAAGAGAGAGAGAGAGAGAGAGAGAGAGACCTGATGCATCAGACTGAATGAGGCCTAGTTTAGACTGAGACCCTTTTCCACATTGAAACATCTTTGCCAGCACATTGAAACCTCTTTGGCTTCTATTAAAGGTTTTGTGGACGAAACATGGTCAAGACTATCAGGAAGCTGCCACATTTTGTTGAGGCTTTAAGCAGGATCCATTGGACCAGATCTCCACCCTAAAAATTACTTTTCCCCAATGTATTACAGTGCCAATTCTGAAGAAGGCAAAACCAAAATGTACTGGTAAATTACAAGGAGAACACACACACACACACACACACACAAACTCCCTTCTAACCCTGCTGGAGCAGGTTATTGGACTAGAATAGATATCTCATTATCTTTCTCCTCCCTCCCTTCTTCTTTATTTCTTTTTCTTTCTGTCCCTTTTCTCTTTCTTTTCTTCCTCTCTTGCTCTGTCCCTTTCTTTTCTCTCTCTCTTTCCCTCTCTCAGGCTCACCCCTTTAGATCAGGGGTCGCCAAACTTTTGGACCTCAGGGACCACCAAACTCATAATTTTAAATCGTGGAGACCACTAATATGAATTTTGACTGACAGTGGCTTTCTGGCGTTGGTGGGAGAGATAGAGAGAGATCTGATCCAACCTCTCTCTCTCCCTCTCTCTCACACACACAGGCAGGGGTGGGATTTAGACCCCTGATCTAAAGCTGTCAAAACTCCAAAAACAGGTCAAGTAGCTCTGAGGAGGGCAGTCATAAATTAGAACACTTGCTAAACAACTGGCCATTAAGTGAGGACCACTTGTATTTGGTTTGCCAGTCACCTGGCCACGCCCACCCAGTCACATGACCAGCAAGCCATGCCCATCCAGTCACATGACCAGCAAGCCACACCCTTAAATTAGGCCACACCCACAGAAATTTGAATCCCACCCCTGGGTGGGGGGCACCGAGGATGAGTTTGTAGCACCAAGGGGGCAGTGGACTGAAAAAGTTGGAAACTTTTCCTGCTCCAGTGGTGGTATTCTACCGGTTCGGCCTGATTCTGCCAAGCCGGTAGCGGCAATGAGAAGCAGAGACCAAACCGGTTCTCTCCATTGCTCCACCTTTGAAGCGCAGCTGCTTTGCGCAGCAGCTGCTGAAGCGACCGGGAGAGTGCAGGCTTGCAGAAGGTGAGTTGGAATGCCTCTGCGCTTGTGCAAACGCCTCTGTGCATGTGCACACACTTTGTGTGTGTGCACATGCACAAAACACACCCACCAAGCCACACACCCCGAACCAGTGGTAAAAATGTTTGAATCCCACCACTGTCCTGCTCATGGCTAAATTCCTGTTAAAAGCACCCAACTTCTCCCGGGTCTTTTATTAATAGTAATAATATTAACAATACTTTATTAAAGCCACCCATTCCCATAGACAAGACTATTTTGATGAGTTATTCTATACTTCGCCTCCTTTACATCTCCGTTTTTTCATGCATCTTACAGTGTACCTTCAAAAAAGCCATCTTCATCCATTTCTCCATAAACATAAATATACTCGCCAGCCGTAAGTGGTAGTTCAGCCTCAGGATTCTCATTGGGGCCATCAAAAGGATTATAACTGAAACGAATGTAAGGAGAATGTTTTGAAGTCTAACAGGCCAAGAAGGAGTTTGGCCATCAACTGAATCTGCTTCCTAAGCGAGGAAGGCAGCGTCTGCAAAGGTAGACTAGCAGAGGCAAAATTCAATGGCAAAGATGAAGAATCTTTTCCATATGATCCTGTAGTATTGCTCTGGATTTTCCATTCTATGCAGTCTCTCTTGTAATTGTCTATGGAGATTCTCAGGCATCCAGGTCATGGTTGTCCCAAAGGTGCTTTTTCAAAAGGCAACTGGACTGTCTTTGTTTTGGCTTGAAGAACTGAGGAAGAACTGAAGAAGCTTCTTGGATGAGAAGTGAAATGTCTTCAAGCAAAAACAAAGAAGGTCCAGTTGCCTTTTGAAAAAGCACCTTTGGGTCTCTCTTGTAATGTTCATTTTAAATTAAGGGAATATATAACATTAATTTAAAAATGATAGTTTGTGCAGACTGCATTACACTTCCATTGCAACAAGGTGCTTTTTCAAAAGGCAACTGGACCTTCTTTGTTTTTGCTTGAAGACGTTTAACTTATATATGTGGTATTCAGCTTTGTTCGGGTATTTTCCCACGTCATTATAGTTGTGCTTTTAAAGTTGTAGCAACGTTTCAGCAGAATCTCATCTGCCATCATCAGACGAACACAATACAGAAGCCTGATGATGGCAGATGAGATTCTGCTGAAATGTTGCTACAACTTTAAAAGCACAACTATAATGACGTGGGGAAATACCCGAACAAAGCTGAATACCATACATGTAAGTACCCGTGAAAACTTAAGAAAACAATATATATATGCCTAAGATTATTTTTGTGCAGGATTTAAGAAACTGATAAAAAGGTTACAGGTTAGGAATCTAGCCTGCTTTTTCATGCTACGTTATTGATGAGAGTTTTGATGCTACAAAAGAGGAGAAAAAAACACTAAGTGACAAAACTGAAATTTAAGACAAACTGCATGGAAGAGTTTTGCATAAAAGATGAAAATAAAAATGGGGACCAAAGGAGAACTGACTACAGTTCAGAAAGAAGATCAGATGTCCAAAAGTTTGGCCACCTTATGATTGCCAGATTAATACCAAATTCCTATACATATCTTTTGAGTTAGAAAGCAGCAGGTATGAACATTTATTCTGAAGCATTTTCTGGTCTGTCATCCCTGTTTATTATTCACAGAGCGGCCACAATGCTCCAGCTCAAAACAAAACAAAAAAGATCTAAGTGAAGAATGAAAAAGAGCAGCTATTATCTGCTGCATGTAGATAGATCTTATCTGCTAATCTCCTACATATTTCAATTTCTACAATCCAAACTGAAGTCTGCCAATACATATCTGCAGATCAAATATCCCAGCTGTCATTAGAAGGTAAACTGAATGATATTTTGAACTGAATGGATGACATTCTCATAATCATTGACCAATATGATCTGGATAACATTCATTCCTGCTTTGAAATAAACCTGGTGAATAGGAAAACCTTGAGAAAAACCATACATGCATATCCCTTCCCCCAGGCTAACCCTTTAAGGGTAAAACATTACACATAATGCAGATAAAAAGGAAGAAAGAATAAATAAGAGCTTAAAGAGAGGCTATAAGAGAAAAAGAAAGGAAGTCTAACTAAATCTATACTATAACATTCATGTCACATCCCTATAGTTTTTTTTTCTATTTTGCAAACCATTCTTGTCTCCATCATGAGTGGTGCAGTGGCCTAGAGGTGGAGCTCTCACCTCACAATCAGGAGGCTGTGAGTTTGATCCTAGGTAGAGGCAGATATTTCTCTCTGGGCACAATGAGAATATATCTGCTGAATATAACTCCACATTGGCAACAGGAAGGGCATCTGGCCACTTTACACACTCAGTTGCCCAGACTCCACCCGGCAAGGGATTATGGGGTCATTAAATGATGATGATGATGATGATGATTTAATCTTTTGTGAGATTCACAGCCTTCGGGGCTGGTTGGTAGCTCAACAGCTCGAGTCCTAACCAAGGACCTAGGAACAGTTAAGGTAGCATCGGAGGATATAAGCTGTCCCAAGTAGTGTGTTTTTTTGTAGAATCATTTTGTAGGTATTGAAGTCTGATAAATTCAGAATTTCCAAATAGTGAGGTAGCCCTTTAGGTATTTCTCCAAGGCCTCCAATTATATACACGATTTCTATATAACACACGATTTCTTTTTCCAAAGTCGATTTGTAAGTCCCGATACTTTGTGATATTTTTTTTTGCTGCATATCTACAATTCGTGCATCACTAGGTATTGCAATGTCAATGAACCAACCCTTTTTCTTTTCAACTATTGTTATGTCAGGTGTGTTGTGGGCCAAGTGCCTGTCCATCTGAATTCTGAAGTCCCACAAGATCTTGACTTTTTCATTCTCCAGAAGCTTCTCAACCTGATACTCCCAGTAGTTGCTACTATACTCAAATAATAATAATAATAATAATAATAATAATAATAATAATAATAATAATAATAATAATAATTGTCTCCATCATTTCCATATATTGCTTTTTTCCCTGTAAATCTGTCATCTTTCTGTTTTTGAGGATATCATCAATTCCATTAACTATGACATCATCCACTTCCCATTCTTCATTTTCTTCATATATTTATTTTGCAATTCACTCTTCATTCTCTTGACATGACTAAGCCAGCTCTCTATATAACATCATTCCATATTAAATGATTAGATCATTTTTATATTCAGCCCATACTGATTCAACAGCTATTTGGACCCTGTGCATGTTTTATCACACACAGTTCTTAATTAACACATTTTCTCCATCCATTTTTGAAGACATTCTATCAAGATACACAAATTCATCCACTTAGTCGTATATTTCTCTTTCCATGTATAACTTGCAATTGTTCATTGCCTTTCCTTACCAAACGCAACTCCATCAGTCTCTAGATGCAAGAATTTTCCCATTGCATCATATAAAATCTAATATTTGCTACAAATCATTTGCATTCTTAATATCTAATGTCACCACTGGTTTCTTTGCACAACCTTACCTATATCGAGCCAAGAAGACCTGAAGTTTTACTGGATCATGGTTCTCCTGCTCAGGTACTAATGAGATGCTGTCAATGTCCAATTCTTCCATTTCACTGGCTGTATCCATCTAAAGACACGCAGAAAATGATGAAACGGCTGTATTTGCAGAAGATGCTTAATTAAGGCAAATAAAGGCTTAATGGCAAACTTCATTTTAACCTTGAACTGTTCATTTTAATGATTCAGCATGTTGTAAAAACTCAACCCACTTGGTTATTTTACAGCTCAGTGTATTATGCAAACCTAGAATATAATCTAATTCAGGAACCAAATTTAGCACATCCCAATCCAGTCCACTTCAAGATATTGGTTATGACCTTTAAAGTCCTACATGGCAAGAGGCCTGGTTACCTACCAAACTATCTTTATCCCTTTACATCAGCCTGTCCCAACCAATCAGGCAGGGAAGGTATGTTACAGACCGCATCATTTAAAGAATTCTGACTGGCAGGGTCCAGGAAAAGAGCCTTCTGCCCTGTGGAACACTCTCCCACCCACAAAAGTGAGATGGCCTCCCACTCTCCTGGCCTTCTGGGAAAGCGTGAAAACACAGCTTTGCAACTTTACTTAGGATGCACAAAGGAGCACGTAGCCATGGGGCTGGCTAGTGGCCTAAATGCCCTCACCCCGCATTTTAATAGCAATAGCAGTTACAAAAACTGAAGACTTATATGCTGCTTCATAGTGCTTTACAGCAGGGGTCCCCAACCCCTGGTCCATGGACAGGCACTGGTTCACAGCATGCCTGCAAACAGACCATGCAAACAAGCAGAGTCCCACCCACGGGATGCAGGCAGCATGCAAAGCTCTGCTCCCTCCAGTCCACAGAAAAAACTTTCTCCACGGAACCCTGGGTCCCAAAAAGTTGGTGGCCACTGCTTGACAGCCCTCTCTAAGCAGTTTACAGAGTCAGCCCATTGCCCCCAACAATCTGGGTCCTCATTTTACCGACCTCGGAAGGATGGACTTGAGACGGTGAGAATCAAACTGTTGGCAGTCAGCAGATTTAGTCTGCAATACTGCATTCTAACCACTGCGCCACCACACCTCTTGATTTAATATTCCTTGACTCTTTTAAATTGAAATTGATTAGTTATCAAATAGATGGGCAGTTCTTAAATATGATAAATAAGTAAATAAGGGCCCTTGAGATTGCTTATGCCACCCCCCTCCCACCCCTGCAGGGAGGCTGGCACATTTAAGCGATCCACTGGTGGACCCTAATGGGTTCTAGAGGAAAGTGGGGATATCCTGGGGCCTTTTCTTTATGGTGCTGCTGAAGTTCTAGTTCCATTCTGGAACTAAAAGGCAGCTGAGACTTGACATAATTGCATCTCTCTTGACCCATTTATGGTAACCAAAACAGGTTAACATCTGGCCATTGGCCTAATTGGATGCAACCTTCTGTTCGGCCTCATTTCCAGAAACACCCCTATCCCTTTTCCTAAATCAGGCTAATTTCACTTCTGATATTTTTCCACCAGGAAGCAAAATCTTTCTTATTCAAACTTGCTCTTTTCTGGAGATTGGCTGCTGCGTTGCGTGATTTTTTTTTTTAAAAAAAAACCATAATTGTGTTTTAATTAGGCTGTACATTTTTAAAGTTGCTTTTTAATTATACTTTTTTTAAAATTTATTTTAATTTTATTCGATTTAGGTGCTGCCCAACTCCAAATCAACTCTAAGTGGCTCACAACAATCTTTGTCATTATTGCTGAAGATACTATTTATAATGTTGGCGACCATAGATGTCTACCTTAAATAAACAGTAAATAGATACATTGTAATAAATTAATTGATCCATCTCATGCCATATTTTCTCCAGTCTAATATAACTCTCAGAATATTCCAGTTGGACGTTGTTTGTTTAGTCACTGCACTCTTAATTATTTTCCCTTTCTAGCACTTGGTTAATAATGTTACTGGCTGAAAGAACACTCTTGATTTTGGTGCAAGTTGAGCCCCCGGTGATCATTGTGATCAGGGCTTCCAACTCTGCTGTTTCCATGGATGGGGAATTTCCATTTCCTAGCAGATGTTCTCCCTAAAATAGATGAGCCATGGAGGAAGAGCAGGGAGAGGAACAAATAGGCACTGGAGCTTTGCATGTCTTGCAAAAGAGGAGGGCTTTACAAGTAGTCCTTGCTTAACAAGTGCTCACTTAGTGACTATTTGACATTATGATAACCCCACCCCCCATACTGATGACTCACTTCTGGAGTTCTAATGGCTGTGTGCCCCCTGTGGTCATATAATTGCACTTCAGGCCCTTGGCAACTGGTTCACCTTTATAACACATTCTGGGGTCACGCAGCCTGATTTATGATGTTTCCAGCAAAAAAATGCCCACAGTAATGCATTGACTTGCTTAATGACCATGGCATTGACAACCACCTTAAAAAAGATCATAAAATCAGGACAGTCACATGGGTGCCTCAACTTACAATCATCATGATTTACCACATACCAAATACCAGGCTCCATGACATTCATAAGTTGAGTACTACATATCAAGATCAAGGGAAGTACTAATACCACTCTATAAAGCCTTAGTAAGACCACACCTAGAGTACTGCATCCAGTTTTGGTCACCACATTATAAAAAAGATGTTGAAACTCTAGAAAAAGTGCAGAGAAGAGCAACCAGGATGATTAGGGGATTGGAGACTAAAACATATGAACAACGGTTACAGGCTTGGCTAGGCTAGTGAAGAGAAAGACCAAGGGAGACATGATAGCGGTCTTCCAATATTTGAGGGGCTGCTACAGAGAGAAAGGGGTCAAGCTATTTTCTAAAGCACCTGTAGGCCAAACAAGGAATAATGGATGGAAACTGAACAAGGAGAGATTTAACCTGGAAATAAGGAGAAACTTTCTGACAGTGAGAACAGTCAACCCATGGAACAGCTTGCCCTCGGAAGTTGTGGGAGCGCCATCACTTGAGACTTTCAAGAAGAGATTGGACTGCCATTTGTCAGAAATGGTGTAGGGTCTCCCGCTTGGGCAGTGGGTTGGACTAGATGACCTACAAGGTCCCTTCCAACTCTGATTATCTGTTATCTGAGAGGGGGGGAAAGTGCGAAAAGACAAGCCACTGACAATGGGGAAAATACATCACAATGTTTGAGTTTTGTTATGTCAATTCATCCCCTTCAGAAGAGAATGAAGATTTCTCTCTCTAACCTGCACAGAAGGAAACAGACGGTTAGAGCTTGTGGTTAATTAGTTTTGGCTAGGGTAACTCTTATTCACTTATCTGAGCTTACATGTCGGGATACAGGATATAGGTTTGCAAATGGTCAAAACAGCCCATCAACCTCATGTGCATTTTGTATTGTGAAAGCGTTGAGAGATGGCCAAAACCATCTTTTTATGAACCATCTGTTCACAAATCAAAAGCTGGCCATCTCCTCACACATCCATGACTGACCTCAGGAGTGGGGCAGGATTTGGGGCTGTTGTTGTGCATGGACTCAGATCTGGAAGAGCTGGACTGGGCTTCCAATTTCTTGATTGCTTTTTTTGAGGCAACTGGGGGACTGCTTGTATCTGGACTTCGGGACACAGGAGACACCACAGGATCCGTGAGCCGGAGTGCCACTGGGGAGAACCTTTCCACCTCTTCATCTTGAACTTTTATACTGCTCCGTGGGGATACAGGGACAATTTCTGAATCTGAAACCAAACATTGTACATCACGCTAGGCATGGAGGACAAGCAAAGCCATAAAGTTCGCAGAACATTCAGGTTTAATTACATAAAAGAACCACAAAGCTGGTATACAACACCAACTTTCCCTTTTTGAAATACAGGTAGTCCTTGACTTGCAAACATTTGTTTAATGACCTCTCAAAGTTACAACGGCACTGAAAAATGTGATTTCTGACTACTTCTCACATGGCTCTTGCACCATCCTCATAGTCACGGGATCAAAATTTGGACACTTGGCAACTGGCATGTATTTATGATGGTTACAATGTCCTAGACCTAGGGTTATATGATCAGTTTTTGTGACTTTGTGACAAACAGAGTAAATGGGGAAGTGTTACCAACTTAACAACTGCAGTTATTCTCTTAACAATGGTAGGAAAGGACATAAAATGGCAGGAAAGGTCATAAAAATGGCAGGAAAGGATAAAAATGGCAGGAAAGGTCATAAAATGACCTTTCTTGCTTAGCAATGGAAATTTTGGGCTCAATTGTGATCATAAGTTAAGGACTACCTGAATAAAATTTGAACCACCTTTCTTCCCCCCCCCCCCCAATACACACATACACACATCCCAAAAGAAAGAAGGAATTTTATTCCTCTTCAGAAGTTTCTATCTGAAAAAAAATCTTAAATCTACTGCATGAATTTAAATCTACTGTATAGACACAGAGGCTGAATGTTTGTGAAAAACTGTAGATTCTCCAATTTACCCAGACCATCCTTAATAAACAATCCAAGGACTTCATGGCTACTAAAAATTTTGGTTAAGAAAATAAGAAAAATCAATGCCATGACCTTTAAAATACTGCAGTGCTTGAGAAATTACCAGCATGGGGTAAACACAGAGAAAACTTTCAGTGTGGAACAAGAAACAAATAAAGCTATTTAAAGCTCCTCTTGAGTCCATATGAAATGCCTTTAGCACAGATCTCCCGTTCTGTGTCCGAATGAGTCACGGTTCTTGGTGTTTTTCCTTCCAAGCAGCTTCCACTGGGTGGAGGTGTTCCAAGGCTGGAGAGGGAACTGATCACAATCACTGCCAAGACGAAACAGCATTAGGCACTCCGCCAATGACCTGGGCTGTCCCCTTTCCCACTCAGTCTCCATCAGGCTGGGAAAAACAATCTTAACCAAGCTTGGTTCATAGGGAAACAGTCCGCTTTAGAGGTGGCAGCCTCCTGTGTTTCTGTAGTCCTCACACAGAAGAAAACTATTGGTTACTGTGAATTTTTCTTTACTCATTTTTTTTTTTTTTTGCCAGATCAACATCAGTGATCAACATCACCAGCCTTGCACAACCCCATTATGCTATGGGCCCTTCCATCCAGAGCTTTTCATTCTGAAATTAATTGCTTCAGCTGCTGCTCTGATGCAGAGGAAGTAAAGAGAACTTTGTTGAGTTTCATTCAAGCTGCTGGATACGATATGGGTAGGAAATAAATTTAATCGATCAACAATTTCACAGCTACTGGCAGTGTTTCTGGAGGAACTCCTATAGGCTTCTGGATTTTTTTCAATTTGCATCATGGCTCATCCCTGTTTTGTTTCTTTTTTTAATTTGTTAATTGCTTTCTGGCTCCTCTGAGGGATACTTTTGCTGCATTCTCAACAGTAGCTTGCAGGAGCTTTTCCCTATTTTGTTCCTTGCCACAGAAAAGCAAACATGCTGAAGGAAGAAGAGAGAGGGGGTTGGGGAATCAAGTCTGCCAGTTTTTATTATTCTCCCTCTGGCTGCTTGGAAGGGAACGCTGACTGATTGAGGACAGTCGTGGAGCACTGCAGAGCACTGAAAATATGCCGATGGCTTGGCAGAGGGCAAAACCGGTGGCTGTAATTGAATTACTGGTCATTCTAGTTCTGTACCATCTAAACCAGGGGTGTCAAACTCAAGGCCCAAGGGCTGGATCTGGCCAGCGAGGTGCTTAGTTGTGGCCTGCAGGGCTGGCCTGGAAATACCAAAGGCCGGCAGAGTGCTGCAGGAGGACATGGAGGCTGGAAATGGGCCTCGGGGGGTGGGGCTTCATGCTGCCTTCTGCACCCCACTTTGGCAGGCAGGGGTGCTGCAGGCGGTGTCCATCTCATCTCCCCCCTCCCCACCCCCTGCTGGCTCACGGAGGAGAACTACAATGCTGATCCGGCCCTTGAAGAAAACCAGTTTGACACCCCTGATCTAAACTGACCAGCAGTAGTACTTCAGTTTTTAGGCAAAATCTTTTCTTGAGTCTATTTAGAGAAGTTGTAGATTGAATGGAGGATCTTTTGTCTACAACACTGTGGTTCAGTGTGGGCTACAGCTTCTACTTCAGGTTATGACTGAGATCATCCTAAAATGATTAAAATGTCCTTCCCTAGTATGGCACCCTGACTATAACTCCCAGGATTCCAACCCAGCAATGCGTTATAGATAAGAAATTCTGAGAATCACAATCCAACACATTTAGAAGACACCAGGGTGAGAAAAACAAGCATTACATCAGGCACCCTATAGAATACAGGTAGTCCTCGACTTATGACCACAATTGAGCCCAAAATGTATGTTGCTAAGTGAGGTATTTATTAAGTGAATTTTATCCCGTTTTACAACCTTTCTTGCCACAGTTGTGAAGTGAATCACTGCCATTGTTAAATTACTAACTCGGTTGTGTAAAGTGAATCTGGCTTCCCCATTGACTTTGCTTGCCAGAAAGTCGCAAAGGGTGACCCCGGGACACTGGAACCGTCATAAATAGGAACCAGTTGCCAAGCATCCAAATTTTGATCATGTGACCAGGGGGATGCTGCAACAGCCATTAGTGCCATGCCCCAGGTGGAGAATGACTCTGAGGAAAAGGAGGAACAGCCAACAGGGAGTGGGAGTGTGGCTCCAGAGGTGGTGGAGGAGGCTGGGGAAGGGCAGAGGCCGGCTGAGCAGTCAGAAGAGGATCCAGGCCCATTCCCTATCCATCCTAGGTCACGCAGGGAGGAGAGGATCAGGGAAAAGCGAGGTCTACTCAAGAGGAGATTACCATGATCCTCCTCGTGGCTTGCAGGTGGGAGCTATGTATATAAGTTTGTAACTGCGCAGTTAGAATTTGCAGGAGTCAATTTTAGTGTTTCACCTTGAAAGAGGTTTATCTGTGCTGGCGTTCTTCCCATGGACTCTCCTCAATTATTTTCCTGGAGTTTATGATTAGTTATCTTGGCTTGCTTCGGAACTCTCATCAACGCGGTTTGTTTTGGTTTTCTGTTTGCCTCATTAGTTACTTTTGTGACTTTAAACTGTGCCAAATAAAACAGTGAAGTTAAGTTGAAGGCCTTACCGCACTTTAATATATGTTTTAGGTTTTGGGTTATTTTGAGAGAGTACGGGTCATCACAATTAGTGTGAAAAATGGTCAGAAGCCACCTTTTCACTGGTGTTTGAAGTTGTTGTAACTTCAAATCAGTGGTGGTATTCTGCCGGTTCGGCCCGGTTCTGCCAAGCAGCGATGAGCAGTGAAGACCAAACAGGTTCTCTCCGCTGCTCTGCTGTTGGGCCGACCCACTTGCCCGGGCTCCCATACTCACCTTTATCCTCTGAATTGGAAGCGCAGCTGCTTTGTGTGGCACAGAAGAGTGTTGCGTGGCAGCTGCTGAAGCGACTGGCATCGTGCAGGCTTGCAGGAGGTGAGTTAGAACACCTCTGTGCCCGTGCAAAGTGCGCGTTTGGTGCATGCACGCACACAAAGTGTGTGCACGTGTGCAAAGCGCTTACACCAAGCCACGCCCACTGAACCGGTGGAAAAATATTTGAATCCCACCACTGCTTCAAATGGTCACTAAATGAACTGTTGTAAGTCGAGGGCTACCTGTATTGAGAGGTATGTTGAAAAATTTTAGATGACTTGGTGCTTCCCTTTCTGAATTATTCTTTTGTTGACAAGAACGTCAAAGTACAAATCTCTTGTATACTGTCACCTTTCTGCTTGAAGCAATTGGGGAGCTGTGGAGAACTCTGGCAAGTAGCAAAGACAATCTCTGAAGTCACCAGGGAAGAACAGAAGGAGGAGGTGGATGGAAGACCTAATTTCCCAGTTTGGAGGTGAAATCGACTGAGTTCCTGAGAGAGGAAGTTAAACTGTTCTGTGTGGCTGCGACATTGGTTTTCCAACTCTCTCACACGGGCCTGCATTGCAAAAAAAACATTAGCTACAGCAGAAGGCAGATTTTAGCAACAGAAAGAGGTTTTAAGGGAGCAAAGGAAGATGGTCCATCTTGCAGGTTAGTATCCACTGACATACACACACACACATACACACACCATATCTCAAGTGGACTTCAAGCAGAATATTTATGGCATTACTCAGTTCTAGCTGGATAACTATGGAAGTTGCAATCGCATGACTGGAAACTGCCAAGATGGAAGAAGTTGGCTTAAAGTTCACCTAAAGACATTGATTGATTGATTGATTGATTGATTGATTGAATGAATGAATGAATGAATGAATGAATGAATGATTTGTTTCTGGGTACTGCATTTTGGGTGGATTACATTACATTTCCCAGCAGTAGATCCTAGATCTTTGAAATATTTAATTTCATGATGCATCTACTTGGCATAGCATAGCAAAATTATATTGCAGCTCCTGCAAATGTGGACATTAGTTTTTTGTTTGTTTTTGGACACAGTTTAAAGCGTTGGTGGTATCTCAGCAACTATTCCCTTCTATATGAGTTTGCCTGCTCATAAAGATCAATGGAGAGACCTTCTCCATTTCCCAGCCGTGGCAAAGGTGGAAAGGGTGGGACATGTCAAAGGGCTTTCTCTGGGACCAGATCTAAATTCTGGAATTTGCATCTTCAGGAAATCTGGTTGGCATCTTCTCTGGTAGTGAATACCTTGTCATTTTGGGACCATTCTCTTCATAAGCAAGAAGGTGTTGCTTTCTTACTCTGCATGCTACATACTGTATTTTTATTACATAGTTTGTAATTGTTTTTGTAAAAGTTTTCATCATTATCTTTGGTAGAGGAAAGCTTCCAGTAATTTTTTGGGAGGATAAAGGGATCAGTTTTAAAAGGCAGCCCTGTGCTGAACTGTGGGATAAACCTTCATGTGCAAAGATCAGCCATCGCAGCTCATCACAAGAGGAAACAGTGTGAAACGTTAGAACCCTGACAGAGGGGGAAGAATTGTGACAGGAAAGAGACCAGAATGAAGGGGGGGGGGGGAAACACCTGGTTTTTCTTTCCTTTCTGCAAAAGCCTCTGAAAGAATGAAAGAACATCAGTAAAAAGAGATTGGGTGGGTTATTGCTTTTATGGTTACCAAACATAAGAGCCCAGTTGCAGACTGAACATGTTATTAATGACAATGAATAGAAGACACACACCATCATACATTTGCCCCCCCCTCCCCAACGCTTCTATGTTAACCACATCTACATTACTAGTTATTCTACAGAACAATACATGCACACCATCTCCTCTTCTGTATGCCACAAAGAACAAGGGCAAGGAATCTGCTTCCAGCCAAATATTTATGGCTGATTAACGGATATAGTATAAGAAATGTACATTAACTCAATTTAAGGATTTGTGTGTGTGTGTGTGTGTGTGTGTGTGTACCATCAAGACAAGCGAAACAGGAGACACAACCATTTTCTGACTTCAAAGGAACAACAGGGTTTTTTTTCTCGTTAGCTAACTTTTCAGCAAGAGTCCCTTCAGGCTGGAGAAATCCCACCAGTGAAGCTTAACATTCAGGATAGAAAAATAATAGTAACAGAGAAGAGTAAGGTATGGAGAATCAGCAATTTATAGTCAGGTTTGATTAGTGTATTGAATGGGAATGGGTGACTTGAGTTCAACTCCTCATGTCTGGGCACTTGCCATCAGCATGTATTTATGATTGTAGTGTCCCAGGGTCAAGTAATCCACCAACAAGGAAAGTGAGTGGGGGGAAGTGGGGTTTGCTTAACAACCACATGATTTACTTAAGAACTGCAGTAATTTACTTCTAATAACTGGCAGAAATGATCATAAAATTGGGCGCAACTCATTAAACAATTGCCTTGCTTAGCAATGGAAATTCTGATCTCAATTGCGGTTTTAAGTCAAGGACTATCTGTAGTGAAGGACACATTAAGAGTGTCACATTTACATATTCTCCCATACCCTCATTAGTGCTTGGACAGTTCTTCCCTTCCTCTGACAGTCACCAGAAAGAACAGCCTTGTGCAATTGAAACCTTGCTCTTGTTCTGCTGGGCTAATACAGATGCAACACAAATTATGTGCAAGTTTGGAAACGAGAAATATACATTATTGCTTCTCAAATACATTTCAATTTTTCTCCCATTCTTTCCTTGCCTACTTTCCATAATACATATAAAACGTAGTATTTCTCTGTTCCAAACGCCTCTGAAACAATCAAGATTTGTTGGAGGAAAGAGGGAAAAACAGGACATTTTTGCACATCTGAAACCATTAGTACCTGCATAGAATCCAAGGAATTCTGACAAGGCAAGAAACAGCAGAAGAAGAAAAAAAGTTGTTAATTGCACATCACCATCTTCCTTAAGTACAAATCCGGTGATTGATTGCAGGACTGGATAAATCAATTGAAAACCCACATCTGGAAGTATAATGGATTGTGAGATTAACCTTGGGAGACAGGAGAAAGAGCTGTAGCCAGGGCAACACTCAGATAAAAGATATCTCAAACCCTCTTTCTCCTGTCTTCCAAGGTTATTCTCACAGCCCATTACCTTCAATGAGACATTGCCTTCTAACCAATGAACTGCAGTGGGAAGTCTCTTAGTATTTTCCATGGTGACACATTTAATCAGGTCTCCTTCTCTATGCTACACATAGAACTGGCAGTGTTTGATGTGAAAATTTCTTGTGTAGTTTAAATAAACTAAATTGATGGTAATTTAAATGGGTTTTTTTCTTGGTTTTGACCTCCCTTTCTTTCATTTTCTCCTCTTCTTACCTCTAAAAGCTGCACTGCTCCTTCATGTTTTTTCCTAGCTTCAGCCTGAGCCTAAATCCAAGAGAAAAGAAAGGTTAAGGAAGCTGGCTGTCCCAGGAATATGTATCTTCATTGACATAGAAGTGGGTGATTTGCTTGTAGACTTGATTGAATTTACAAATTCTGCCTAGCCATTATGTGTTAGCATTTGGTGTACTGATTAAGTTTATGTTAAGCCATAGCTTATAACAGGTGAATACGCATAATAATGTAAACCATAATCAAGCTATATTGGAATGGGTAAATTTGGTCTATACTTTTAAAAAATGTTTTGCATGACCAACAATATCTCGGTATTCTAAATTTGTGGAATTTAGTCCAGGGAGGCACTATTTGGGTTGACAAATGCTACAAGGACGAAAGGAAGCGGTGGTACTCGCCACCGTTGCACCCCAATCATGAAACAGCCCCACAGCTGATACTGAGTTGGCCTCCACATTATGGCCCATCTGGATTCTATTAAAGATAGATATTTCAGAAGGCTTACAACAATTGAGTGATGCCAGTGAATGGAAGAACGTTTTGTATTCATTGATGCACTTATTAGAATTTTACTTTTTCTTACTACATAATTTTATTATACAATTGTATGTCAATTGTATGTTTTATTATACATTGTATGTCACTGTTTAATAGAGCCAAAGAGTTGGAAGGGACCTTGGAGGTCTTCTAGTGCCAATACCCTGCTCAGGCAGGAAACCCTATAATATTTCAGACAAATGGTTGTCCAATCTCTTCTTAAAAACCTCCAGTATTGGAGCATCTACAACTTCTGGAGGCAAGTCATCCCACTGATTAATTGTTCTAACTGTCAGGAAATCTCTCCTCAGTTCTAGGTTGCCTCTCTTCTTGATTAGGTTCCATCCATTGCTTCTTGTCCTTCCTGGAGGGCTTTGGAGAATAGATTGACTCCCTCTTCTTTGTGGCAGCCCCTCAAATCTTGCAAAACTACAGTCATGTCACCCCTAGTCCTTCTTTTCATTAAACCACAATTAAATTTCAACTCAATTTGCAGGATGTTGACAATCCTGCTGATTGAGATGGGGTCAGACTCAATAAGTGAATGAATGATAAATAAAATGTGTTAAGTATCAGTAGGGTAGAATCAAATTATTGATTGAAGAAAGCATGAGCAATTTCTCCTTGCCCAATGGTGGGGAGGTATTTCCCCAGCCTTCAGCATATTGCAATTGCTCACATCAGTGCAGCACCAGGCATTGCTATGGGCTGAATGACCCATCAGAGAACAAACCCCACAATGAGAATTTTTCCTTCACCTCCAAAGCAAGTCAATTCCTGCCGATGGGGGGCTGTTTACACCAAGGGTCTTCACACTTGGCAATTTTAAGATTTGTGGACTTCGCCTCCCAGAATTCCTGAGCTAACATGACTGGAAGAGGAATTCTGGGAATTGAAGTCCACAAGTCTAAAAGCTGTCAAATTTGAAGACCCCTGGTTTACACATTCATACAGTATGTGAGCCTTTGGCTGATGGAAGAATCAAGCTTACGTGAATAAACCTGGAAGAAAGAAGACTCCTTTTGACAGAACTCACCTGCTGCAGCTGTCGGACTTCATCTTTTTTCTTCTGCAAGGCCTGCAAGGCCTTCTCATGCTGATGTTCCAGTTGCTGCCTTCGTTCTGCAACATCTCTCATGTGCTGGAAAAGAAGATCCGGAAGAGTCCCTTGAGGCAGGTGATACATTTTAACAAGTAAATAGATTCTAAACATAAGAAAGCCAAATGATTTTCCCATAGACCCTTTTTTTTCACCCTGGGTAGACTATGTTTAAAAGATGTTTTGGAAGAAATGGCAGAAGAGGATCAAAGTCTTCATTTAATTTGATTAAATGTGTATTTAAATGTAAATGATAGCATAATTTTCTCCTTGTCATACTGGTAGTTATCCCAAAGTTTTTGGAAATGCATGTAGTCCTGCACCATTGTGTTTTTTTCCTGTCTTAGACCTGTTGTCAAGGAACAATATGATTGCATATTATAGTCTCCAGGAGCTAAGCATAAATTGAGCATCTTTACCTTTGCCTTAACTGGAGAATTATTTCTGACTTGTAGCTCACTGTCTTAATTATTGAATTTCATTAGCATTTAACAGAAAATAGCGCTGAGGGCTTTGCTGAGCCTGTGCGTAAAATGGACAAATCTGTCAAGCATTCCTAAGACTGTTTTTAATTATTTTATAAAATGTCTCAGGTTGATGCCAGTTCCTGATTTCAAGCTCTTGATTCATCATAGGAGTATGAATAACACAAATAAAGAAGTGACATTTGCATTTATCCACATCCTCAAAATCAACTTTTAATCAGAAAACCTGGAATCTATTACAACTTGATTCCAAATCTGCCATTTCTGCTAGTCAACTTTCCAAAACGAAGGATATCAGTGAAAGAGCTGCTCTGGGAGGGACTTTTCCTACAAACCTTAAGTGCCTGCCCGAGACTCTCCAGCCTGTCCTGGAGTTCCTGGGTTTTCTGAAGAGCTGAATCCCGTTCCTCAGTCACTACAGAAACCTGCAGCCTTAACTCAGCATTTTCAGATTCAACCTGCAATAGGAGAAGCAGTTGGTTAACAGGAGGAGGAGGAGGAGGAGGTGCTCTCTCTCTCTGACAAAAGCATTACAATCCCTTCTGCTTTAGGGTCTGATTAATTTGTTCCATACATTTGATGGAACTGTAAGCATGATCATAACTGATGTTGGGTATTTCTATAGAAATGTATGTATTTGTGTATTGATATTCCAACCTCCGTAGCCAACACATGAAAGATGAAGAACTTTAAAACCCGCAGAAGAGACTGTAAGTAATAGAAAGCTTTCTCTCTGAAGGATCCAATGACATGTTTAACATGTGTATAGATTAAAAAGACTCATTTTTTAAACAGAAACTTGGTTTACAATGAAATAATATTTATCCCCCAGGAAAACCTCCTTGAGGACACTAAAGCCATGATCTACAGTCATCAGCTTACACTACTTTAGATGGTGGGGGGTGGATATAAGAGAAGGTCTCATGATTACCTTCTCTGTCCACTCGACTTGCCCCTGTAACACGGCGTTCTCCTCAGAGAGTCGGGCATTATCACTCCGCACTTCCTGAAGTTCGATCTCCTGTGTGAGAAAAAAAATCAAGCATGGATTTTCTGGGAATAAAATAATCTCTCCCCACTATGACAAAGCTTAAAATACCAACTGTGTTCTATAAAATCTTCCTCAAATTCCAGAAATACTGAAAGGGAAAAAATACTTAGTTCCACTGACTCCGAGCACTCTGGGCATGACATAAGAGTCCTGATAGGCTATCAACTATGTGATTCCCCAGGCTGTTTTTTCTGCAATCTTGGATTTCGGCATTTAGGCATAAAACTCAGCAGTTCTGAGAAAGCTCACTGCCATGTCAATTCAAACAGCAATGACGATATTTCATTCCACTCTAAAATTCTACCTTAATGTTGGTTTAGGAACTTTAAAACCCGCAGAAGAGACTGTAAGTAATAGAAAGCTTTCTCTCTGAAGGATCCAATGACATGTTTAACATGTGTATAGATAAAAAAAACTCATTTTTTTAAACAGAAAACTCAAACATTACCAATGCTAGATTTTTTTTAATGGCACATCCACGGTGTATAAGTATGTTTTTTTTAAAAAAAGGGGCAAAATGATGGGTCTGGCTATGAAATAAAAACCCAATTTTTTATATACAAAGCTATCACAACACATGTAAAAAAAGAGGCAGGACATCAATCACAGAATCATAGTTACTATCTTGAGTTTTTGGATTTCCCCTCCACACTCAACAGACACAGTTCTTAATGTGTAACTTTTGGTGGGGCGGGGGGAGATTGCTAGCCTTTGTATCAACTATTGCTGTTTTTTGTAATCCCTTGTTCTTGCTGTATTACTGCATCAGTGATTTGCTATTATTAGCCAGTTATTGCTATTGAACCTTCTGTTCCTAGGGAGTTTGTAGGCATCCGTCTTCTGTCTATTGAAAGTAGCTCTAGGAGTCAACAATGGGGGGTGGGGACTCACTTACAAGCTCTACACATCTCTTGTGCTTCTTCTTTACTTCATGCTCCAGATGTTCACATTGCTTCCTCTTCTTGGTGAGCTCAGAGTCCTACCAGAAGAGGAAAGCAGACAATCAAACTGAAAGGCAAATGACCAAACAACGCTTACCTATTTCAAACGAGATGGCATAATTTTTAAGGATGCTGAAGCCCCAAGGGCTCCAGATTTAGCAGCTTGGCACTCTCAGGTCTTCTTTTCCAGAGCTATGTTGCAAAAGCATATAGGTAATCCTTGACGTATGACCACAATTAAGCCCAAAATTTCTGTTGCTAAGTGAGAAATTTGTGAAGTGAATTTTGTCCCATTTTACGACCTTTCCTGCCACATTTGTTAAGTGAATCACTGCAGTTGTTAAGTTACTAACATGGTTGTCAAGTGAATCTGGCTTTCCCATTGACTTTGCTTGTCAGAAGGTCACAAAAGGAGATCACATGCTCCCGGGACACTGCAACTGTCATAAATATGAGCATCCAAATTTTGATCAGGTGATTGTGGGGAATGCTGCAATAGTCGTTAGTTACTTTTTTCAGTGCCATTGTAACTTCAAATGGTCACTAAACACATTGTAAGTTGAGGACTACCTATAGTTACTTTTGAGGATAATGTTTCCACAAGGTAAAGATCAAGACTCCCTAAATATTGTACAGATCATAAAATAATTTTTGTCATTGTCTTTTGCAAATTTAACTCAGCACTCCAGTCTAATTGAGTAGTTCTAGAATTTCCTGTTAATGTCCCATCCAAGGACTAGGGCACCCTCCTTAGCTGTGCTAGATGTTGCCATAGGCTGTGATAAAGATTATTTTTTAAAAAAACTCACCAAATGCTTCACGTGCTCTTTAACTTCAGGGGCAGAAATCAATGTGTCTTCTCTTCTTTGCACTCTTCCGAAAGGAAACAGTCCCGTCTCTGACTGCAAAAGAGAAAAATTTCAGAACAAATGGCCCTGTTCATTTTGTGATTCACAGTCTTTATTTACTGATAGGAGTTAGCAAGTTGACTACATTTCTTAAATTTTTACTCTGCCCATCTTACCTAAGTGGCTCTGGATGGTTTACAACACTGGGCAATTTAGAACACCCAGTCTTAAGACCAAGTTTCGGTCCTGAAAATGTGTTTGCTGCTGTGGACTGCTCTGGGTCTAGGATGTCACCTCTGAGGTTAGGCAGGAATTCGGACTTTGGTGTGGTTGAATTCACACAATAAGCTAGACCAGGCTAAAATAAAGTTTGATGGCTTTGTTATTCAGCACACCAAGAGAACCAGGCTATTTAGCTGTGCAAATCATGGGGGCCAGGATATCACATTAAACCATCATATGATTTGTTTAGGCACAACATATAATCAGAACACAGCACTGCTGTGAGACCAAATCCAAGAATCACAAAGTAGATATTCTCCCCAGCTGAGTTCTTTATTGTTTTCACATCTATAGACAAAAATCTTGCCAGACTGTAGACTCTACTATCTCCATCTACAATAGACTCTGTAAACTATCAAGGAAGGGCTGTCTTCACCCTTTTACTCTCACACGTAATATCCAGACCTAGTTATCTTACTTCTTTGGAATATATCCCATCCCTCCTGGGTGTCCACCTTCCATCACAACTGCTTGTGGTATGCTGAGATCAGTGAATTCAGCTTGTAAATGGCATCTAATAAATCACTCCTTATGTTTTTACATACAAGAGACTGAGTTAATAATCAGTAGGTCCAGGTTCAAATTTCATGTCTGTCCAGTGTGAAGAACCAGGACCACGTGTTGGGTTCCAGTTAAGCTGATGTATTGTTCTTGTTTATATACAAGAATCTGGTTAACTGTCAGTACTAATTGGGTGCTAGATAAGAGTTAACGGAATTCAAAAGTGGTTGAATTTAGACCGCTTGTGGGAATGTAATGCCTCTAGACTAATTCCTCTTAACTCTGCCCCCAGCCAATGCCATTCCTTCTCCTTATATAAAAAATAAATGTATATTAAAAATATATAAAATATATATTATCATCCTAGGCCTTTGAATATAGCATTATTCTAATTATTTATTTAAGAAAATTTATATGGTTGTCCACTCATTCTCAATGATTCTGGGTTGCTGCTCAAAACTCAATATACAACAATAACCCTCCCCTCCCCCAGCAATAACAATCAGTCAGATACATCACTTTATGGACTCCATTCCACTCAGGGTTTCACAGGTCCATTGCCAAAACCAGGTCTTCAGGGTCTTGTGAAAGAGTGTGTGGGGGGGGGGCAATCTAATCTCCACGGAGATAATGTTCAGGGGGGAAGAAACTACCACGGAGAAGGCTGTTTTTCTGGGTTCCACCAGATGTACCCTCTTAGGAGAGGGGACCAGCAACATTCCCTGCCTCTCTGCTTTGGTGAGTTGGATAGATGTGACTGGGAAAAGATGGTCCTTCAAATAACCTGGTTTAAGGCTACGTATCTATTTCTTATTTGTTTGTTTGTACATCTATCAATCATATTTCTGAATTGTCCATCTCTCTCAAAGAAGCATTCTGGGCTGATATATAGAAACCAGGTGACCTTGAGTTCTACTCCCACATTAGGCACAGAGACAGCTGGGTGACCTTGGGCCAGTCACTTTCTCTCAGCCCTATAGAAAGGATGCAATGGCAAGCCACTTTCGAAAAATGTGCCAAGGAAACTGCAGGGACTTGTCCAGTCAGTCTCCAAGAACTGAACACAATTGAATGGAAGTGGGTACATGTCCACACCCATACATTATTTATTTTTCAGAATTTACACACACACACACACACACACATACATACATACATACATATATATATATTTTCTTAAGTTTTCGCGGGTACTTACATGTATGGCCTTCAGCTTTGTTCGGGTATTTTCCCACGTCATTATAGTTGTGCTTTTAAAGTTGTAGCAACGTTTCAGCAGAATCTCATCTGCCATCATCAGGCTTCTGTATTGTGTTCGTCTGACGATGATGATGATGATGGCAGATGAGATTCTGCCGAAACGTTGTTACAACTTTAAAAGCACAACTATAATGACGTGGGATATTACCCGGACAAAGCTGAATAACATACATACATACATACATACATACATACATACATACATATATACATACATACATATTTCCAATTCTGAAAAATCAAAAATTGATAAAAATATAAATTGACAATCTAAGCTCCCTCTCTATACATTAATCATTACTTTTTATTAAAACCAGATAAAAGCTAAAGTACTACTATATTTTAGGTATTTCCAGGGCTTGACTTCAATCAAGACCCAAGCCACTAATGTCAGGAAACTCTGATAGTAAACCCAGAATATCATTTCTTAGCTCCAAACTGTGAATCATGATTAATGAGCAAGACGATTCAGAGATTTTAAGACTCTTTTTCCTATTCTAGCACCTTTTAAGTAGTGGGATTCATCTCCAGCCAGGAAAAATCAAAGCTAGTGCTCACTGGGGATTATAGGAAATATAGTCTAAGATGGCTGGGTGTCGGGCTGTTCTGTTCTAAGTATACATTAATGTTTATGATTGTAATCCTTACTAATCTGGCAATACCTGAAAAACTGTGGGAGGAAAAATTGCCTAATATTATGTTTTCTGTTGATTAAAATCCTACTCTGTCATCAAGGAAGCTGTCTCATCCTGAGTTGCAATAGTTCTATTTTCCTGGAATTGACACATTCTGAGTAGCTCTGTTAGTTGGGTGGTCTCTAAATTTGATATTTAAAAAAAATAAACAAGGAACTTATGAAAGCTCCTGAATCAATGGAAGGTTTGTGTTCTGATCAGGAGGTGCCTCTTTCCACTGTAACACTGAGTGAGCAAATGGAAACCGCCTTGTGTGAAATAAGATCTGGGCCAGTATTTCTAGTTTGGATTGAAATGGTTCTTCAAAATCCACCTTTCACTGTCCAGAAATGCAGGATGGTTTCCACTGGAGGTTTCAGGAACTGCCCTGGGAAAGGTAATCTGCCTACAAGGTGAAATATATTGGCCACTTCTCTGTTCTAGAAAAAAAAACTAAAGAAAAAAAAAACAGGCTCTGTTTGGGAACTGGTAGAAGAAGCCAAAGCCCTTACTAACAAGCTTCTCAGGTGTAGATTTTTATGCTACCGTCTTTACATTATTTGGATATAATGTTCCTGAAATATGCTCTCTCCAACCTCCAGCTTCCTAAGATAATTTGCACTCTTAAGGAACAAGAATTATACATATTCAGGAATACTTTGTAATGCACTCAACAGGGGATTACAACCTACCCCTCTTTAAAGTTATGGAACTCTGATATGGAGCCCCTCTCCTCAAAAGCAGGCAACACAACATTAGGTTTCTCACCAATGCAACGTCAGGAAAGCTGGTTCAACTCCCGATCCACTTTTCAGCCAAACTTGTCTCCACCCTTTGCCACCCCAAAGGCGACGCGGCCTGCACAAAACCCGTCTGGCCGGCGCTTTCCTATCTGCCCGCTGCGCCTTCCGCTTCAGCACCAGGGACAGCTCCACGCTGGCACAGCTCCAGCCCGGTGGATTGTCCGGTGGGCTGAACCACTTTGCCGTCCGGAAGAGGGAGGAATATCTGCAGCTCGGCACGGGGCAGGGAAAAGCTCCAAGCTGCGGCGCGAGGAAGGACCCCTTGAGTGCACAGTGGGAATTCCCAGACTTGACCATCTAAACTTCCAGGATCTGAAGTCGGATCCGGAAGAGGTGCGAACACGGTGCAGTTTCAAATCTCCCCGCATTCTCCATACAGTCAACATTTTCAAGGAAGGTTCAAGTGTGATAAAAGTATGTTTGTATTTTTGTTTCTTTGCATATAAGGAATAGAGAACAGGAAGAAAGAAGAGAACAGTGACTCACCAGGCTAAGTATTTATGGCTGGGGTGAGATTAAGTCGGGAATTCCTGATCTGGTGCAGCTGTCAATCAGAGTATTATACCTATTGGCACTATAATTTAATGGGTCAATAGGGCAGGGGAAAGAGGCAACAATATGGTCTAGTGATGAGAGAAATGCAGTAGCACATGGGACACAAGCTCAAAGAGCTGAGCCAGTTACTGGAATAAAAAAAGCTTATCTTGCAACAATCCTGGCCACATGCTAAAATGAAAACTCTCTTTGAGTTCAGCTCAACTTTGGTGATATATTTGCACCTGTGTGGTTCCCTTGGCAACAGTGCATAATTTGCCACTTCTTCTGGGACATTTCCCCCACTTCCCGGTACACCCTTAGCCTTAGCCTTTGATCTTCCCAGCACTATCAGGTCTGATCAAGATACAAATCTCATTTGTCATCTCGTGCCATTTCCCTTGAAGCTCTTCTTCAGTCCCACACAATGTTGGGGGTTGCCCTGTATGCTTCCCATAGAAATTCGAGCACTCTTTGCAGTGCTATAAAGTCTATTTTTTTAAAAAAACACTTCTGGTTGATGGTACAAAATCAAAATCAGAAGAAATTCTCTGTGGGTTTTTTTTTTCTCCTCATTTCAGCCTTTTTAGCCTATTTCCCCTTGTTCTCTACCCCACATTATCTGAACAGAGTGCTTATGTAGATATGATGTAACATCATTTGCTCAGGAAGTCTGCAAAAGACGTATTAGTCAACAATTTATTAGTAAACAAAGGATGTCTAATACACTTGGGGAGAGCTCAGCTCTGTTCTTTAGGCAAATAGCTCAGCTCCACCCAGGCCCGAAGCTGCATTGGTGGCTCCTCTTCCTCCTCCTTCAGCAGCATTCTGAAGACCCATTTTTAAGCTGTTCCATCTGGACAAGGAATAGAGGAACAGGAGAGATGTGGGGCTATTCATAGCAGCATCTGGTGGGGTGGGGGGGTGGGGAGGAGAGATCAGAATCAGCAATGATTGATGGGGCATGCATGTGATATTGACACAAGTACAAAAGAGGTGTACACTCCAACAGCCCTCTTGATGCTGATGGCTCTTCACCCCTGCAAAGAACATTTGGCTCTCCAGAAGGTTATCTACCTGGCAGGCATTCCATCATGTTGCCTGATCTCTTTTCATTCCAAATAGGCATGATAACAGTTTTCATTTTAACAACATGTTAAGAATGTGCTTGACTTTTCACCTCTCCCTTCGTTGGTCTGTGTTCACTCAGCATATTTAACCAAATCAGATAAAAGCCTAGCAGCTACATCTGTACAACAAACTAAACAACTGAGCATTTTTTTTAATGGTCCAAAGCATTGCGTGAACCCAGCTCACTAGATTGTGAGCACCCAGAAGAATAGGATAATTGCCAGAGGTGGGCTGCTGGGCGTTCGCAGGGATGTGAGGGAGCCCCTAGCTAAGATACTGTGCAATTCAGAGAACCCCCAAATCCCACTTCTAGCCGGCCCCGCCCACCCCACCCCTCCCCTCCCAGGAGTCCCCACATGGCCCATTTTGGATGCAGGTAAGTGCAGGGCACACACAGAGGCTCTGGGAAGGTGAACAATGGGCCTCCCGGAAGTTCAGGAAGGCTGGAAATGGATCCCATTTCCAGCTTCCAGAGAGCCTACGGAGCCCAGGGAGACCGTTTTCACCCTCCTGGAGGCTTGAGGGCAAAAACGCCCCCTCCTGCCATGGTGCAGGAAGTTGACTAGGCCACGCCCACCCAACAACTGGGCAGAGAACCCTTTGCTAACATTTTTGAAGCCCACTCCTGGTTAGGCATGTTCTCCGAATACAGAATGTGTATGTCATATTTTTAGGATATGTAAGCCACACTGGAGGTCTTTTTAGCAATGGGACAAAGTGTTATAAATAGATATAATGTTTATGGCAATGCTTTTAAGCTTCACTTGGTTCTTTTTCTTTGCTTTCAACCTGGATGAAATAAGCAGTAGATTAAAAAAAAACAGGAAATGCAGAGCATTACATAAGAGAATGACATATTTAATTGTCATTTCTCCTGCAGTTCTTTTCTCAAATATGCCCCATTTCGAGTTGAATGTCTTCACTATTTCAGAACTGCAGTGGACCAATGGAATAGTAAAACAGCAAACCCATGTTAGATAGCAAAGATGGACTTAGGAATCTGGTATTCTAAGAATGGTGGGTTTTGTTCTAGATTGTCCAGCATGTGGATAATTAAAAGGTAAACAAGACGCATGATTATAAACTGGAAGGAGTTCAAAGGATTTACCTGGCTGGTCTCCTCCACTGCTATGCACAGTTCCTCCCATGGCTGTGATACTCTTGTAGGAGAAAAACCATTTGAGCAAATAGTCCTGTCTGAGGTGATGAGCCCCAAGTCCATTGCAAAAGCTACAGAAAAGTGTCCTGATCCCTGGCCACAGGGCTCCAGGGCTGCCTTAAAATTCTTCAGAGCAATCTGTCTCTGTAACCGCAGCACTTCCTTCTGAGATTCTCGAAGTAAATGCTGGAAATCTAGAAGAGGCAGACATGGAGGACCTTCCTAGAAAAACAGAAATTTTCACTTACCAGGTTAAATAAATCTTAGGTGGCTTAAAAATCAGAGAAAACTGCTTATATTTGAATATGAGAAATACATTACACAGCAAATGACCAACCACTGTTTGTTTCATCTTGGATGGTAAATGTCTATGCCATTGTGTCTTCAAAGCAACATCTTAGAACAGCGGTTTATCTTCCTCCCACATAGAGGATAGAATCCCTCTTCTCAGATAACACTTGTTGCCTGCACTTCAACAAAAGCTTTTAAAAAGAAAATACCTATGTTGAGAATTCTCTGCTATTGACCAAAAATGCCTTTTCAATGACAAATCTAATCCAGATTTCACCAAGCTGTTGCCCTCCAGAATTGTGAGGCTTCGACTCCCTTTAACTGTGCTGGCTGGGGATTATGAGAGCTGAAGCCCCCAAACTCTGAAGGGCAGCAAGTGGGAAGTCTGAATTATTTAACTGATCAACACAGCACCCCTAATAATATTAACAGTGAAAAAGGGCATCTTTCAGATTTCAAGCACATTTCATAACGTTCTAGTAGTCTGAAAAGAAAATTTAACAGACATGAAAACCTGCAGCATAGAGTTAAGCTGGCTCATTCAAACCAACCCGTGACCTGGGCCTCACTTTGTCTCTTTGATCTTTCTACCTCTTAGGTTCCTACATCCTCTCCTTTCCTTTCAAACATCTAACCTTGGCAACTTTAAGACAGGTGGACTTCAACTCCTATTGAAGTCCAGCTATCTTAAAGTTGCCAAGACTGAGAAACCCTGGTCCAGAGCATGAAGTCCTACTTCCTATAATTCTTGATAATTCTTTTCCCACCTTTTATATGTTAGCAGCATCTTCTTCCAGTCGTTCTTACAAACCTTGCTTCCCAATCTTTTGTTTGGCTTATGGATACTTATTCATAATTATCCATTCTGGCACTTAATTGTTCCTCCTACCTAGCTCTCCCTCTACAACTGCACTGCCTATTGCCAGTGAATATATTTCTTTATCCCAAAATTCTGAGTAGGTTTTTTTTCCCCAAACAAAAAGTTCACTTTCCTCAGAGAATGATGTAGCAGTATTTGTTATCTGAGGGAAAAATCTCCCTTAAAAGTTGGAATACTAAATGAAAATCCTTTGATATCAGAGATACTCAGCCAGTGCCCTGATGGAAGATGGCTTTCTGATCACAGTAACTAAAATCCACGAGGCTTTTCTGAGCATGATGATAAAGAAACAGCTTTTCTGTACTGACACACTTGGAAGTGTAGGAGCAGAGACAGAAAAAATGTGATAATCCTGGTCCAGATGGGCCTGGATCCAAATCCTAGTGCTCACTCACAATGGATGGAGGTTTACCACATCTGGACAACATCAGCCTGAGTGTATTCAGTGGTAAACATTCACCTTTCCATCCATGATTTTAGCTTGAAGTTCTTGACATTCCCTCTGCAGAGCATTGATCTGTTTGTCTTTCATCAGGAGTGCATTGGCTTGTTCTTGGAGATCTGTAGCCCGTTGGCGCGCCAGCGCTCTTTTGCACAGTCCTGCACAGGAGCTCTTCACATTTATTGGTGCATTCACCTACAGCAAGAAAAGACTGACCGTTGTCTAATAGACCAATCTTTGGGACAAATAAATAAATGACTAAGAAGATAAGCTGACTTAAGAGTCAAACCATTGGTCTATCTGGCTCTGTTCTATCTTACTTGACTAGAAACCTATTTCTAAGGCAACGGCAGGCAATGTAAGGCCCACCAGATATGGACTGCAATTCCCATCGTGCTTTACTATTGATCATGTTGACTAAAGTTGATGGGAGTTACAGTTTATTTCTTCTCTAAAGGTTCTGGTTGGGATTTTTCTAACCACTTTGGCCACACCAGGGATTAAATTGGAATTTTCTTGCAAACAAAGTATGATTCCTACAGATTCTTCCGTACAAAAATGACAACACATTTGGGGAATGACCATTAATAAACTACAAAGAATATGTGGGCATGTGCATGTGAAAGGTGAAAGAGGGTGAAAGATGAGAACTCTAAATTAATCAGTGATTATCATAGTTGAGCAAGAGATCAGAATTCCAGTCTCTGTAGGCCAGTTATAACAGACTTAATGTAGGGCTTCATAATTCTGATAGTCAAGAAAAATCAAAAATCATTGTTTTTGAAAAAAAGTTTGCAGCTTGGGCAGCTTGATTGGGCTTGTCTGCCACCCAGGCTTGGCTCGCTTACCACTCTGAGGTTGGCCTCTTGCAGCTTCCTTGCTCTCTCCTCCAGACGTTTCGCAATGACCGCCAGCTCTGCATTCTTCCTCTTCAAATGCCTCACCTTCTCCTGAGTCTCCGGGAAGCAGGTCTTACGCTGGGAAACAGAAAGTAAGAGAGAAAGATCTGAACTGCCTTTTTGACCCAGTTTTACTTTTGGAGAGGGATCCATTTTGGGAAAATAAGTTCATTCAGCAAGGAGGGCAGTAATAACCACCTTTTCCTCCCCCAGGTATGGTATGGTCCGCCGATGGTTTCTTAAATTAGAACATGAGTCATAACCTGAGATGAAGGCAATCTAACTGGATAGAAAGCAGCTTGGATGATGCATTTTAGGTTCAAATTTAAAATCTCCCAGCTGTTTATTAAGCTTAAAGCAACTTCAGAAATTCCACTCCAGATTTTTTTTAATTTATTTATTAAATTTCTACACTGCCCATCCCACCTGTGACTCTGTGCCATTTACAACAACATAAACACACAAGTAAAAGCACAGATTAAAAACAGAATTAAGAACAAAATTAATATCTACAGTATAAAAGTGAAATTCAAAGTAAAAAACTCAGGTGGCTAAAAGGTTGACAAGGCACGAGGAACATTCTCAAGCCATCAGCCATCCCCAGGGTTACATCTTAGATCCCATACTAATGGGCAGAGACCGGTCTTTATACTCTTCCAGAAAGCCAGAAGGGCGGGAGCTTACTTCGTCTCTGAGGGTAAGACGTTCAAAAGGGTGGGGCAACAGCACAGAAGCCCCTCCTGCTAGATCCTGCCAGCTGAAATACCTTGACTGGTGGGATATGCAGAACATCCTCCCTGCTTGACCAGGTGGGATGGGTCAATGTAACTGGGATGAGGTAGTTCTTAATGTATTTTAAGATTGCCCTTGGTTGATCAAGGATCTGGGCATATGCTCAATCTGGATTATGGTCACCACAAGAACAGATTGGCTGTTCCTGTGCTTCTTGTCCTTCCCATCCAAGAAGGAAAGTCAAACCTTACTGGCTTGCTTCTGCCTAGCCTGGTCTACCTGTGCCTGCCTTTTTCTTTTAGGGGTTGTTCCCTCCTTAATTGTCCCTGTATCCTGCCTTTGTTTTCTCATATATTTATATACACGGATTTCTTCACCCCCACCTCTACCATTTTCTCACATTATCTCCTTTGATATTCATAGAGACCCTTCCCTTTTTTTTCTTTATGGTATCTTCTGAGCAATAGCAATAGCACTTAGACTTATATACCACTTCACAGTGCTTTACAGCCCTCTCTAAATGGTTTACAGAGTCAGCCTATTGCCCCCACCAATCTGGGTCCTCACTTTACCAACCTCGAAAGGATGGAAGGCTGAGTCAACCTTGAGCCGGTGAGACTCAAATGACCAAACTTCTGGCAAGCAGCAGTCAGCAGAAGTAGCCTGCAATACTGCATTCTAACCACTGTGCCACCACGGCTCTTGAGGCTATACATCTGATTAGGGGAAGGGAAAACAAGGTAGCATGCTTCACCCAGCCTGAGCAGAAACTGAAAGGGGTTAATACTGGGAGATACACAGATGTAAAGGTTGAAAGGAGCATGAGCTTCTAGAGTGGAGGATGGTTCATTGATTTAATAGGTCATTTTGGATCAACTGCAAGATGATTAAAAATGAACAAACCGAGAGCTGACCAGCAGAGAACAGTACAGTCTGACAGCCTAGCTTGAGATGGGTAGCAACTAATTGCTGGAGGGAAAAGAGGCATGTCAGGCACTGCAGCCAATGAGAGCTGGAACTGCTACTAGACCTGAACAAAGCAGTGGAAACCGTCTATTCTGAAGGGCTTAAGACGTCTCAGGTCAAAAAGCAGCAGTTTTTAATTGCAACTGGAAAATACCTAAGTGGGATGCACTTGCAATAGACTGAGAGGTGGATGGAGGCTGACCTTATGTATTCCTGCATTCAGAAAGCAGTGAGTGGCCCATATTGGTATACGAAGGGTCACAAAAAATCCTGAAAAAGTAGTAAGCACAAAAACTGGAGAAGACTTCTCTGTGAGCAGGACTTCTTTCAGTGTCTGAGATCTTGGACAAAGTTTTCAAATCAAAGCTGACAACTTCAGCCTTATCCATTGTGATGACCTCCAGATATGTGGGATTGCAACTGCCATCTTCCCTAGTTACAATAGAGACATCTGGAGGGGCACTAGGTTGGAGAAATTTGCACTAGGTGGAGCACGCATGTAGAATCTGAGGCCTCAAGGCCTCCTGTGCTCACTTGAAGTCTTAGGAGCAGCCTGCAGTACCCCAAAATACTGCTTAATTAATTGTATTAATTTAAAAAGACTGTCCTTGTTGCGTTAGCTTTGTCCATTTCTTCATCCTGACCCCATCTACATTTTGTAGTCTGGTTCTCATCATTTCAGCCAGCAGATGAGTCCAGTCCTCCAGCCTCAACAGCCTAGCTTAAGATAAGACAGCTCCTTACAATCCAAGGTTCATCAGCCTCTTAAAGCAATATGGTACTTTTAAAATGTTTTTAAGATTGATGGAGAAATGGGAGAAAGATCTGAACCAAGCAGACAGCAAGAAAGTCTAACTGCAATTATAAAATCTTGCTTGATGGAAATCTTGCCCTTTCACTCAGTGGAACTTTGGCAGGACAAAGGCTTGCTAAGTAGTATCCTCTTTTAATTAGCAGAAGTGGTGCGTGGCTTGGATATTCTATTTCAAGTGCCAAAACAGTTTGTTCAGCCTTGTGCTGAAAGCATTGGTCTGCATCATTTGGAACTAAGAGTTTCAAGCACCCTTTTTTTTTAATTCCCTCAAATATCATTGCAAAGAAACATCTTCGAAATTAAATAAACCATCTTTGCTGCCCAATACAGGAATTCAGGATTGTCAATTACAGATCTCCAGATAGTGTTGCACTTCAATTTCCACCACCACCAGCCTTGGCTAATGACCAAGGTTGATAAGAGTTGAAGCCCAGCAACATCTAGAGAGCCATAGACTGGTCAATCCTGCTTGGCTAAACAACATTTGGGTACAGGGTATTCAGCTCTTGCATGCCCCTTACCAGCAGACCGTTTTCCTTCTTCAGGCTGGCACAGCGCATCTGCAACTCCTCTAGGGCTGTCAGAAGCACTTGGTTTTGATGCAGAAGACAAGGATAACTCACACCATACTGTAAAGTAGAAGGAGGAGTTAAAGAAAACACAGAAAAGGGAGGAAAAGGGGAGGATATTACTAGTAATAGCTCATTCTTTAGTAATAACACCATTAATTCCAAACATTCCCGGAAGATTTTCCTATTCCACTTTTGTTTAGATGTGTTAATAATAGCTCCCAACATTTATATGTTTCATCTTGATTGGACTAGGATGGAGAGGGCTATGCTTACAAGGAAGAATGGAACCAAATTCTTAATAGTTATCATGGGAAAATGACAACATACACCACTATGTCAGCGTTATTCTGGTAGTTTTTCTCCCCTTTTAGAGAATGGCTCCCACTGACTTCTATGAGGAAATGTGTGATGCTTCCCTTCCTAAGCAATGCAATCTTCATCAGATGTAGTAAGGGTAGCTTCTCTGGGAAGGATATTGCTCAGAATTTTAAAAAAATCTTTGATCAAGGCTTCTTGCCAGAATCATTAAACAGGATAAAGATGAGCCCCTCTCTGATGGAAATAGGTGCTTAAGAAGTGTGAAATAAAACAAATAAGAAAATATTGATGATGATAATGATGATGATGATGATGATGATGATGATGATGATGGAATGATGGATGATGATGATGGAATGATGATGATGATGATGGAATCCTATGATATGGAATCCTAAGCCGCTTTCTTTCAACATTTTTAACCTGGTTATCCCTAATCTATTGAATGACAAACCAAAGAAGCAGGGAGAATTAATACAAAAGGCTAAGCTAAAAATAGTCTAAAGAAAATTAACTCTGAACAGCATTTAGGCAGTCTTACATCTGGCGGGTCTCTAACTGATCTGGTTAGACCGGTTGTGTGAGCAAGTCATTGTGGCAGAGTTGGAGATCTAGCTTAATATTAGACAAAACTTCTGATAGCAACAGTAGTTTGTCAACAGAGTCAATGACCCAAAGAGATAGTGGATCTCTTTTCAGACAATGTGTCCAAGCACAGGCTGAACAGCCCATCTGTCTAGGGTGCTTTAATTTGGAGATCTGTACACAGCAGAGATAGGCCTTGAGGATTTAAATGGCCCCTTACAATTCTATGGTTGGCAGAACATATTCAGTAGTTCCATTAGTTTGGGGGAATCCAATAACATGGTCAAGAATGTTGTGTGAATGCAAGCTAGGATTTCATATACATATTGTGCTGTCCTAGCCAGTCTATGGGAATTGGATAGTTACTTAGGAATTGTGAGCTGTCCCCTTAAGGGAATGCATCATGGTAAATGTAGTTAAAGGTATCCTGGGAAACGTAGTCCATGTCACGTGACTACATCTGTAATCCTGATTGGTCACTGAATTGACCCTTGGTGGGTTGGGGGAGGTTTTCCTCATTCTTTGTCTGCACTCTCTTACTCATGGCACCTTCTTTCCATCACTACGAGATGGGTTAGGAGATAACCATCTTTTACTACAAGGCAGATATACAAAGGGATTGGTCATTAAAGAAGAACTTTGTCACAAATGTGAGTTATGAGGATACCTGATGAACCAATAAATATTCTTTGTTATGGACATCTTGTTGAGTTATCTATCTGCATCTGTACAGTTTATGAATCCACCTCTGTACAAGATACAGAAAACATATGTAACATCCTCATCATCTCTCAGTAACAGCCATGTGCAGTGAAAAATCCAGTTCTGGTGAATACTGTCTCCTTTGCTCTTGATTTTCCACATCTTTATATTATAACTGGTTATCCTGTCTTTGGGGTAATAGACAAATCCTTTTTCAAAAACATTATTCAAACATCCTCTGGCTTCTTTTTTTTCCCTGTCTGTTTGTTTAGAGAAAGAGGATTTGGGAACTTTTGGTTCTCTCCCAAAGCGACAGTAGTTAATCTAGCTGCTTCTCCAAGCCTCTGAGCCTTCACTGATGATGGCAGACGCACTGAAGCTACACAATAACTTCCAGGCATCTACAAAATGTATTCCCAAAGAGCTTTTTGTCCTTCCTTCCCAGTCTCAAAGCTGCAGGGCTCAGTAAATAAAACGGATATAAAAATCAAAGATGAAATAAAAAAAATAAATCTTAAATGTGTTCATCTTAATACTATAAAGGGTGATAGATCTCCCCAATGTGGAAGAATCATATTTTTAAACTTTCTATTGCTGTTAATATAAAGCAAGCCTTTGAGGCATGTGCTGAGTATATTTCCCTGAAAAATAGCAATCTCGTGTCAGCCTTTTAGAAGAAAGCAGCAGCCATCCCCACACTGACTTCACTAGATCCCATTCCCATGTTTGAGCACAAGGTACTATATGTGTGAAATGTTCGAAAACTCATAGTAACAGCATTTTCCCTTCAATTTTGGAAGTATACATGAAGAAACATTTTCTCAGTCTGTAGCCCGCAGGGATGTAGCACTTTACCTCTTATAATGCCCCAGCAAGCAGGTTAAGGAGATTGACAGCTGTCCAAATTTAGAGGAGCTCGCTCTTAAATGGGATGTTGCACTGCTACCCTTAACCATGGGATGTAATCATACAATACATTTTACCAGGTCACTCCTAGCATGTCAACCTTCCTCACTTACAGTATCAGCCTGAAGATTCAAATCCAAGGAAGCCCCCACTGGCACTTGCACAACATCTGCCCAAGAACTTTAACATCAATTCCCAATGGAAAGCTAAACAGGTCGCTGAACATCCAGTTATAGGAAGAGATATAAATGATCCCACAAACATGTCTATGGAGATTCTCAGGCATTCAGGTCATGGTTGTCCCAAAGGTGCTTTTTCAAGAGGCAACTAGACATTGTGTTTTTTCTTTGAAGACATTTTGCTTCTCATCCAAGAAGCTTCTTCAGCAGAGTTGAAGCGAAACATCTTCAAAGAAAAACCACAAAGTCCAGTTGCCTCTTGAAAAAGCATCTTTGGGACCACACAAAAAAGGTGACAGGCTTTGAACTTCTACGTCAGCAATGGACAACCTGAATAGGATTCGTATCTCACAGGGTGTCTGCTGGGACTCTCTGTATAAATGGGGCATAGCATCCTCCCCTCAGTATGATTGCTGGATGCTACGTCAAACTGTAGATCACATCGTGACCAGCTTTAAACTGAGGGCATATATCTGACTTTTTAAATATAAACAATGCTGTCCTTCAATGGTTAGATGGCCTAGACATCAGTATTTGAACATAGATCTTTTTGACATTTACATTTTATTGGGTTCTACTAATCTAGTTGAAATGTTAATTTATACTGCTAGTCTGTGTATGATATGCCATATGCTAAATAAATAATAACCAGGTCAGATCAAGGCTTACCAAGTGTATTCTCAGAGAATTCTAAGCTTGCTTGTCACTAATCAACTAGTTTTATTTATAGCATCTTTTAGAAGCCCAGCCAACATATTAAGCTATGATTCCATATATTATGAAACTGCATTAATTAATTCAATGGCCAGTTTATGCTTGTTGTGTAAACAGAACTATAATACTCATTGTGTGCAAACATTTGACATGTATGATTTTTATTCTTTCAGTAGGAGTCATAAAGTGAATAAAGAAAAGGAGCATCTAGATACATGTGGGGTAAAAGGTATACATAAGCTTCTTGGAGGTCATAAGCAGCCCTCAAGCTCTGGGTTGTGCTCTTCTGCCCTAGGCAATCTCTTCATGATTCAGCAGCATACCAAATACTATCGTTTTGCAGCCTAGCAGGAATTACCCCTTGCAAAATCTTTAAAGAACTCAGATATAATTAAATTCATGCCGTTCCAGCAAAGCGTGGTGCATTTAAGGCAGCCAGTTGCACTTTCAATCCTCCCTTAGCCACCTGTCTGTTTGAATTCTTTTTTTTATGAGCAAAGAATGTTCCCTTCAAATCGACTAAGGACTTTAAAAAACGGCTATGCATTCAAGGTTGAATCTCACAGAATGAGAAGTAATTGGCTTCTCTGAGAGGATAGGTCATTTGATTCTGGAAAGTGGTGACATCCCAAAGAGAATGAATCAAGCTGACATATTAAGACTACAAATCTGGGGCACATAGCCGAGCAGCCTCCTTTACCGTATGGCAGATCTGTGCAGGATGCAAACGATGATGAATTGTGGTTCCTTCACCCTTGCCTTCAGATTTATGGAGGGTTGCTGCTCCTCGAGAGAAGCCTGGGACCCACAAGATTTCTCTACCTGCTCCTTGAGGTCTCCCCACTCCTCACCTAGGATCTGGGATTCTAAAACATTCCTCCAAGCCTTTCCTTCTCCCCCCCCCCCCAATCTCCTCACCATTATGCAAATGTCTTTATTTATTTATTTTATTTTGTCAAGCGATTATAAGATAACAGGTATAAGCATGGTTATGAATACATGAAATGGATACATATAAGAAAAATAAAAATAAAATAAGAAAAATAAAAAGAAACAATAGGCACGTTGGTGCGCTTATGCACGCCCCCTACAGACCTCTTAGGAAAGGGGTGAGGTCAATAGTAGACAGTCTAAGGTTAAAGTTTTTGGGGTTTGGGGAAGAAACCACAGAGTTAGGTAGAGTATTCCAGACATTGACCACTGTGTTGCTGAAGTCGTATTTCCTGCAATCAAGTTTGGTGCGGTTTACCTTGAGTTTGTATCTATTGTGTGCTCTTGTATTGTTGTGGTTGAAGCTGAAGTATTCATTGTCAGGTAGGACATTGCAATATATAATTTTATGTACTAAGATCGGACCAAAGGCGGCGTAGTTCTAGGTTGTCTAGGTCTAGAATTTCAAGTCTGGTGGCTTTAAGCACTTCATTCCTGACGAATGAAGGTGAATATACGTGTCCCAGGACAGTGTTGCAGGATCCAATCTGGGTCAGTCAATGGGACCAGAGATTTTGTCTTCCGAACTCAATCTAGAGCCCATCCTCAGGGAACTTCTCTGTTTTCTTTGGGCTGTTCTTTGGCCAAAGGTTACCACAAGAGGCCAAAATGTGCACTGTAAAGATCATTTGGAAGTGGGAGATGTTTCCAATGTAATCTACC